CGCACCAAGACAGTGGTGCGCGTCGCCAGCCCGGCCCGGCCTGTTCCTAATCCTCGCACCAAACCAGTGGTGCGTGTTCCCAGCCCGGCCCGGCCTGTTCCTGCTCCTCGCACCAAGCCAGTGGTGCGCGTCGCCAGTCCGGCCCGGCCTGTTCCTGCTCCTCGCATCAACCTAGTGGTGCGCGTCGCCAGTCCGGCCCGGCCTGTTCCTGCTCCTCGCACCAGACCAGTGGGGCATGTTCCTTGTCCGGTTCGGCCCGTGCCTGCTCCTCGCACCAGACCAGTGGGGCATGGCCCGTGCCCGTTCCACCGGTGCCTGGTCCGGCACCAGTCAGCAGCTCCAGTCCGGAGCCAGAGCAGTCCGCTCCACCGGTGCCTGATCCAGCTCCGGTCAGCTGCTCCACTCCGGAGCCAGAGCAGTCCACTCCACCGGGGTCCAGTCAAGCTCCGGTCAGCGGCTCCACTCCGGAGCCAGAGCAGTCCGCTCCACCGGTGCCTGATCCAGCTCCGGTCAGCTGCTCCACTCCGGAGCCAGAGCAGTCCACTCCACCGGGTTTCAGTCCAGCTCCGGTCAGCGGCTCCACTCCGGAGCCAGAGCAGTCCGCTCCACCGGTGCCTGATCCAGCTCCGGTCAGCGGCTCCATTCCGGAGCCAGAGCAGTCCGCTCCAACGGGGTCAAGTCCAGCTCCGGTCAGCGGCTCCACTCCGGAGCCAGAGCAGTCCGCTCCACCGGTGCCTGATCCAGCTCCGGTCAGCGGCTCCATTCCGGAGCCAGAGCAGTCCGCTCCACCGGGGTCCAGTCCAGACCCGGTCAGCTGCTCCACTCCGGAGCCAGAGTAGTCCGCTCCACCGGTGCCCAGTCCGGCTCTGGTCAGCGGCTCCACTCCGGAGCCAGAGCAGTCCGCTCCACCGGTGCCTAGTCCAGCTCCGGTCAGTGGCTCCAGTCTGGAGCCTGAGCAGTCCGCTCCACCGGTGCCCGGTCCAGCTCCGGTCAGCAGCTCCAGTCCGGAGCCAGAGCAGTCCGCTCCACCGGTGCCTGATCCAGCTCCGGTCAGCTGCTCCACTCCGGAGCCAGAGCAGTCCACTCCACCGGGGTCCAGTCCAGCTCCGGTCAGCGGCTCCACTCCGGAGCCAGAGCAGTCCGCTCCACCGGTGCCTGATCCAGCTCCGGTCAGCGGCTCCACTCCGGAGCCAGAGCAGTCCGCTCCACCGGGGTACAGTCCAGACCCGGTCAGCTGCTCCACTCCGGAGCCAGAGCAGTCCGTTCTACCGGTGCCCAGTCCGGCTCTGGTCAGCGGCTCCACTCCGGAGCCAGAGCAGTCCGCTCCACCGGTGCCTAGTCCAGCTCCGGTCAGCGGCTCCAGTCCAGAGCCTGAGCAATCCGCTCCACCGGTGCCCGGTCCAGCTCCGGTCAGCGGCTCCAGTCCAGAGCCAGAGCAATCTGCTCCACTGGTGCCTGATCCAGCTCCGGTCAGCGGCTCCAGTCCAGACCCAGACGTCAGCCCCTCTCCAGGTTCGGGGTCTCCCACACCAGGGTCCAGACAGGGCTTGGAGTGTAGTGGGAGGAAGGAGAGGGGAAGCAGCGCGCCGAGGTCCAGACCAGACCAGGGGCGCAACAGGGAGGCGGAGAATAGGTGGTTGTTACGCCCGGAGCCGGATCCGCCTCCGAGGCGGAATGACCACCCGGCCCCTACCCTGTTAAGTAAAGGTTGTGCGGTCGGAGTCCGCACCTTTGGGGGGGGGGGGGGTACTGTCATGCCCTGACTCAGGGGACTCTTATTTGTTGAGTCAGGGTGTGATTTTCTATGTGGTGTATATCTATGTTTATGTTCTAGTATGTGTAGTTCTATGTTGGCCGGTGTGGTTCCCAATCAGAGGCAGCTGTCACTCGTTGTCTCTGATTGGGGATCATACTTAGGCAGCCTATTGGCACTCGTTAAGTTGTGGGATCTTGTTCCGTGTGAGGTTTGTTGTGTGTTACCTTTGGACGTCACGTTTCGTTGGTTTATTGTTTTGTCGTTGTTTATTAAGTTTAAAATAAACATGTATGCATATCACGCTGCGCCTTGGTCTGACCCGTCTATGAACGAACGTGACAGTACTGCCAAATTGCAGATACTGATAGTGAGAATTCGATCAGTCAGTAACTTGCATGAACACAGAAATTGGTTTATAGAATAGCACGAACATAGAACATCAACATTTGTAAATAGAAAAGCACAAGTATAAAATGTCCATTAAGTAGAAAATACCCAATTAAGTTCTTGCCTAGCAACAGAGAATTCTAACTACAGTATCTCACAAAAGTGAGTACACCCCTCACATTTTTGTAAATATTTGAGTATATCTTTTCATGTGACAACACTGAAGAAATGACACTTTGCTACAATGTAAAGTAGTGTGTACAGCTTGTATAACAGTGTAAATTTGCTGTCCCCTCAAAATAACTCAACACACAGCCATTAATGTCTAAACCGCTGGCAACAAAAGTGAGTACACCCCTAAGTGAAAATGTCCAAATTGGGCCCAATTAGCCATTTTCCCTCCCCGGTGTCATGTGACTCGTTAGTGTTACAAGGTCTCAGGTGTGAATGGGGAGCAGGTGTTAAATTTGGGGGTCAGCCTGTCAGTGCTCAGACCATATGCCGCACACTGTATCAAATTGGTCTGCATGGCTGTCATCCCAGAAGGAAGCCTCTTCTAAAGATGATGCACAAGAAAGCCCGCAAACAGTTTGCTGAAGACAAGCAGACTAAGGACATGGATTACTGGAACCATGTCTTGTGGTCTGATGAGACCAATATAAACGTATTTGGTTCAGATGGTTTCAAGCGTGTGTGGCGGCAACCAGGTGAGGAGTACAAAGACAAGTGTGTCTTGCCTACAGTCAAGCATGGTGGTGGGAGTGTAATGGTCTGTGGCTGCATGAGTGCTGCCGGCACTGGGGAGCTACAGTTCATTGAGGGAACCATGAAAGCCACAGACCATGAAAGCCAACATGTACTGTGACATACTGAAGCAGAGCATGATCCCCTCTCTTCGGAGACTGGGCCGCAGGGCAGTATTCCAACATGATAACGACCCCAAACACACCTCCAAGACGACCACTGCCTTGCTAAAGAAGCTGAGGGTAAAGGTGATGGACTGGCCAAACATGTCTCCAGACCTAAACCCTATTGAGCATCTGTGGGGCATCCTCAAACAGAAGGTGGAGGAGTGCAAGGTCTCTAACATCCACCAGCTCTGTGATGTCGTCATGGACGAGTGGAAGAGGACTCCAGTGGCAACCCGTGAAGCTCTGGTGAACTCCATGCCCAAGAGGGTTAAGGCAGTGCTGGAAAATGATGGTGGCCACACATAATATTGACACTTTGGGCCCAATTTGGACATTTTCACTTAGGGGTGTACTCACTTTTGTTGCCAGCTGTTTAGACATTAATGGCTGTGTATTGTGTTATTTTGAGGGGACAGCAAATTTACACTGTTATACAAGCTGTACACTCACTACTTTACATTGTAGCAACGTGTCATTTCTTCAGTGTTGTCACATGAAAAGATAAACTCAAATATTTACAAAAATGTGAGGGGTGTACTCACTTTTGTGAGATACTGTATATGTTTGTGATTAACTCAGTTTTATCTCATAGTCCACTAAAACATCTCCCTCACTTGTCTAGCTTGCTAGCTAAGATTTTGAAAGTATGACTTTGACATGATTCGTCCAAACAAAGCTACGGTAGATACAGTGGCTTGCGAAAGTATTCACCCCACCCCCACCCCTTGGCATTTTTCCTATTTTGTTGCCTTACAACCTGGAATTAAATTAGATTTTTGGGGGGTTTGTATAATTTGATTTACACAACATGCACTTTGAAGATGCAAAATATGTTTTATTGTGAAACAAAAAAGAAATGACAAAAAAACAGAACTTGAGCGTGCATAACTATTCACTCAATTTTAGTCTCATCTGACCAGAGTACCTTCTTCCATATGTTTGGGGAGTCTCCCACATGCCTTTTTGCGAACACCAAACGTGTTTGCTTATTTTTTTCTTTAAGCAATGGCTTTTTTTCTGGCCACTCTTCCATAAAGCCCAGCTCTGTGGAGCGTACGGCTTATAATAATAATAATAATAATATGCCACTTAGCAGACGCTTTTATCCAAAGCGACTTACAGTCATGCGTGCATAAATTTTTTGTGTATGGGTGGTCCCGGGGATCGAACCCACTACCCTGGCGTTACAAGCGCCGTGCTCTACCAGCTGAGCTACAGAGGCTTAAAGTGATCCTATGGACAGATACTCCAATCTCCGCTGTGGAGCTTTGCAGCTCCTTCAGGGTTATCTTTGGTCTCCTTGTTGCCTCTCTGATTAATGCCCTCCTTGCCTGGGCCGTGAGTTTTGGTTGGCGGCCCTCTCTTGGCAGGTTTGTTGTGGTGCCATATTCTTTCCATTTTTTTAATAATGGATTTAATGGTGCTCCGTGGGATGTTCAAAGTTTCGGATATTTCTTTATAACCCAACCTTGATCTGTACTTCTCCACAACTTTGTCCCTGACCTGTTTGGAGAGCTCCTTGGTCTTCATGGTGCCGCTTGCTTGGTGGTGCCCCTTGCTTAGTGGTGTTGCAGACTCTGGGGCCTTTCAGAACAGGTGTATATATACTGTGATCATGTGACAGATCATGTGACAGTTAATTGCACACAGGTGGACTTATTTAACTAATTATGGTTGCACCAGATCTTTTTTAGGGGCTTCATAGCAAAGGGGGTGAATACATATGCACGCACCACTTTTCCGTTATTTATTTTTTTCGAATTTGTTTAAACAAGTAATTTTTTTTATTTCACTTCACCAATTTGGACTATTTTATGTATGTCCATTACAGGTTGTAATGCAACAAAATAGAAAAAACGCCAAGGGGGATGAATACTTTTGCAAGGCACTGTATAACATGATTTGACTTTATTTTATCTGTGGCCAATGACCTTGAGCCTTCTTGGATGGGCTCTGCCCAACCTACCCTGAATGACGGGTTGCCACTGGCCACCATCAACAGGAAAAGGTTGTGTGAGGTATAAAGTAAATAACAATGTTGATATCATTAGTTCATTGATTTGTCAGGCCCATGCCATACCAATTACTCTGAACATTGAACCATCACATGTGATATTGTAACCCTGGGACCTGTGATAGAGACATTGTCTAAAGCTTACACAGTCATTCTTGTCCTAAGAAAATCACTGGTGTTCAAGAAACAGGTTATATATAATTTACATAAGTAATGTGCAACTAGGTTTCCTTGAATATGGTTTCCAAAATAAGATTGCCAGAACTTTACTGAAGAGCAAGTGCATTACTGTATTGTAATTATTTTTACAGAATACATTATTCACCTATGACTAGTGGCTGCAAACAAAGTAGCACTGTTATGACTGAACATTTGTAGCAGTATAGCAACAACTTCAGTACAGTTATCGTTGTTTAATTGGTTCAGGGTAGTACTGCCCCCATGGTGCATCGGTGAGAATGCAATGAAGTCAAAAGTATAGGGTTCCAGTATTGGATATTAATTACACAGATAAAACAGAAACACAGGGGCACATGAGGGGTTTGAATGGAGGGGTTGGAGTGGAGGCTTAGTAGTTGGAGTTTCAAGTGCTGTAGGATGGTTGTGGTAGGTAGGAAGGTTTGCGGTTTCTGGAAGGGACATAAAAGCGTATATTAGGATACATATAATATAAAAAGTACATGAATGATAAAGTAGTGTTGAATATAGTGACTAATATGTAGGGAGAGTGTCAGAACTGAGCAGAACTGTAAAATAGTGGACCCAAAGTGGTCAATGTGGGAATGAAGAGGATCCTAACTTGTAGGGGAAAAAAGCCCTCTGGACTACCAACGACATTGAGCCTAATGTTCAATGAAAAGAGCATTGTATTGTATTTGCAGAGAGTCTGAACTATTTCTATTCTAGGTTTGATAGTCTGGACTTTAGAACTGAGAAGGATGAGCTGCTGTCTGAACTCATCATTAGCACAATAGGAAAATTTATTTGATAATAGAGGAGATGTTGTTGCATTAGAGGGGCAATAAGCAGTTGCTACATCCATTTGACTTGTCCATTTATTCTTTTTTTATTTAACCTATATTTTAACAGGGAAGACACACTGAGACCTAGGTCTCTTTCCCAAATGCGCCCTGTATATACAACATAAATATACACACTATACCCAAATTATCTATCTATCTATCTACAGTGCATTCGGAAAGTATTCAGACCCCTTCACTTTTTCCACATTTGGTTACGTTACAGCCTTATTCTAAAATTGATTAAATAGTTTTTTTCCCCTCATGAATCTACACACAATACCCTGTAATGACAAAGCAACATTTTCTTTGAATGTTTTGCAAATGTATAAAAAATAAAGTACTGAAATATCACATTTACGTAAGTATTCAGACCCTTTACTCAGTACTTTGTTGAAGCACCTTTGGCAGCGATTACAGCCTCGGGTCTTCTTGGGTATGACGCTAAAAGCTTGGCACACCTGTATTTGGGGAGTTTCTCCCATTCTTCTCTGCAGATCCTCTCAAGCTCTGTCAGGTTGGATGGGGAGCGTCGCTGCACAGCTATTTTCAGGTCTCTCCAGAGATGTTCGATCGGGTTCAAGTCCGGGCACTAGCTGGGCCACTCCAGGACATTCAGAGACTTGTCCCGAAGCCACTCCTGCGTTGTCTTGGCTGTGTGCTTAGGGTCGTTGTCCTGTTGGAATGTGAACCTTCGCCCCAGCCTGAGGTCCTGAGCGATCTGGAGCAGATTTTCATCAAGGATCTCTCTGTACTTTGCTCCGTTCATCTTTCCCTCGATCCTGACTAGTCTCCCAGTCCCTGCCACTGAAAAACATCCCCACAGCATGATGCTGCCACCACCATGCTTACCCGTAGGGATGGTGCCAGGTTTCCTCCAGACGTGACACTTGGCAATCGGGCCAAACTGTTCAATCTTAGTTTCATCAGACCAGATAAACTTGTTTCTCATGGTCTGAGAGGTGCCTTTTGGCAAACTCCAAGCGGGCTGTCATGTGCCTTTTACTGAGGAGTGGCTTCTGTCTGGCCACTCTAGCATAAAGATCTGATTGGTGGAGTGCTGCAGGGATGGTTGTCCTTCTGGAAGGTTCTCCCATCTCCACAGAGGAAGTCTGGAGCTCTGTCAGAGTGACCATCCTCCCTGACCAAGGCCCTTCTCCCCTGATTGCTCAGTTTGGCTGGGCGGCCAGCTCTAGGAAGAGTTATAGTGGTTCCAAACTTCTTCCATTTAAGAATGATGGAGGCCACTGTGTTGTTAGAAATTGCGTAATTCAAATCTGGTATTGGAATAAGAATCAAGAGATCTTCAATCCAAGCTTAATTTATTATATGCAAAATGTATGTATGATAAGTATGAAGGTTCGTATATACGGGTCCGCTGAGATACCACGCAGGGCACTCAGAGAACTAAACCATTGTTTACAGGTTATTTCTCAAATACTCTGACAGAGAGTTCCCACCTCTTCTGTTGGCCAATCAGAGTAAAGGACTGAGTGTGGTTTAGACTTTACTCAGCCAATCCGTTGGCGCACGGGTTGGTCCCAACCCCTCGGCTCTCCACCCCTTGGCGCTCCACCGTTCCCAGGCATAAGTTGCTATCATAATAACCTGTAGAGTCAGCACCCAAAAGACTGTACATTCCTACATCCAGGGACGGTTTCACAGACAACAAAGAGACAGTGTTCGTATCTGTAAGAAATACAAGTCTTATCTGTCCTTCCCCTAATGTTCCACACATGAATCACAGCCTGTTATGTGAAACAATTTATATCAGTATAGTACAAACCTATGCTCCTCATTAATGCATTCCTTCTAAGCTATTCATCACTTCAATCCAATTATTAGAAAACAAATCCCAACAGTGTCCTTGGGGACCTTCAATGCTGCAGAAATTTTTTGGTACCCTTCCCCAGATCTGTGCCTTGACACAATCCTGTCTCTGAGCTCTACAGACAATTCCTTCAACCTCATGGCTTGGTTTTTGCTCTGACATGCACTGTCAACTGTGGGACCTTATATAGAAAGGTGTGTGCCTTTTCAAATCATGTCCAATCATTTGAATTTACCACAGGTTGACTCCAATCAAGTTGTAGAAACATCTCAAAGATGATCAATGGAAACAGGATGCACCTGAGCTAAATTGCTCATAGCAAAGGGTCTGAATACTTATGTAAATAAGACATTTCTGTTTTTAATTTATAATAGGTTTGCAAAATTTTCTAAAAACCTGTTTTTCACTTTGTCATTATGGGGTATTGTGTGTAGATTGATGAGGGGGAAAAAATATTTTATCAATTTTAGAATAAGGCTGTAAATTAACAAAATGTGGAAAGAGTCAAGGGGTCTGAATACTTTCCGAATGCACTGTACACACATAAACCAACCCAAACTATGTAAATTCAATGCTACGATTGAAGAAGAACACCCCTTCTTGTGTCCACGCCTTCTAGTGCAGTCAATGTACGGGTGAACTTCAGTGTTCTAATACAGTGCGCTGTCAACGAGAAGATGGGAGTGAGTGAGCCCATGAAGGGTCTTCTATTCTACCTCTGCATCTGTAGTCATGTTTCTACTGTGGACGCGTGGGAACTCACCCTGCTTCATACCAACGATGTCCACGCAAGGGTTGAGGAGACGAGCAACAGCTACGGCAAATGCACCAAGCCTCCGTGTTTTGCCGGGGTGGCAAGGAGGTTTACTAAAATACAGGAGATCCGGAACCGGGAGAAGAATGTGATGCTGCTGGATGCAGGCGACCAATTTCAGGGAACCGTTTGGTTTAATGTATATAAGGGAGCCGAGGCCGCCTATTTTATGAATAAACTTGGATACGATGCGATGGTAAGCAGTTTACATCATTCCAGTAAAATATGAATTAATATTAATGTGGGCTACTGGATCATTTCATAACGGAGGATGCTCTCAGGGTGACCCCATTTAAAATACCCAACAGGATGATTTGGCAGGACATTCTCGGGACAGTGTATCACTATTTCAAAATAGGCCATCATCACTGTCAATCGTGAATGATAATACTTCACGTTTTACGGTGAAACGTCCAAACTGCATCTGCATGCCAGTGATTTGATCTAAATCAGTTTCATGGGAAAATCTGCATTTAGAATTTTCGTGAGCAAATTAGAGCAGATGGTTTTAAACTATAGAGCCTTCCAGTATTTTGTTTCAATAAAAGCACATTCTGCTTAGTGGCGCGCGGAGTTGAGTTTTGGCCACATTATAATTATCTAGCTAACCATCCTAGCAGTAACGTTATACTATACTATTATGTTTCTGATATGTAGAATACTAATTAATCATTATGATATTCCAAGACATTGATTCAGCTTTGATTAAACTTTACTAAAGGACCACTATTGTGAGAAGTGGAGTGCTCTGCTGCACTGAACGAACGAGCTATTTGAAGGGCACCAAGACTAGCCTACTCTTTTGCCTCGCGCAAAATTTGGTGTGGCTGTTTTATGTAAATCTGAGAATATGTGGCAAAGGAAACATTTTCTGGTTGGTGTGAGGGAATGTAAAACAGTTAGGAAAGGATACTTTTTAAAACGGGATTGAGTGAAGTAGTGGCAAATATTTTGAATGATCAACTAATTAGCAATCCTCACAAGTTTGAAGAAATTAACTTATACAGTATCTTTCGGTTTATGCTATTTACTTACTTTTGTAGCTCTTCGTCACAAAGCACGCTTTTTGTAAGTACTATAGTTAGGCCTCGCTTTTTGTAAGTACTATAGTTAGGCCTCGCTTTTTGTAAGTACTATAGTTAGGCCTAACTGTCCTCTCCAAGTTTAGCTGGAATTTAGCCCGGAAGGATTTGAGAAATGTGATTGGTTGATGATAGACCTATGACATTGTCTGGCCTACGTCTCGTCTTGCACTACTCAGAATATCAGGAATCAACAACGATTGGAAAAGTCTCTAACATTACCAGTACCACATCTTTATGATATACAGTACCAGTCAAAAGTTTGGACACACCTACTCATTCCATTTTTCTTATTTTTACTGTTTCTACATTGTAGAATAATAGTGAAGATGTCAAAACTATGAAATAACACACATGGAATCACGTAGTAACCAAAAAAGTGTTAAACAAATCAAATTATATTTGAGATTTTTCAAAGTAGCCACCCTTTGCCTTGATGACAGATTTGCACACTCTTGGCATTCTCTCAACCAGCTTCATGAGGTAGTCACCTGGAATGCATTTCAATTAACAGGTGTGCCTTGTTAAAAGTTAATTTGTGGAATTTCTTTCCTTCTTAATGCGTTTGAGCCAATCAGTTGTGTTGTGACAAGGTAGGGGTGGTATACAGAAGATAGCCCTATTTGGTAAAATAGCAAGTTCATATTATGGCAAGAACAGCTCAAATAAGCAAAGAAAAACGACAGTCCATCATTAGTTTAGACATGAAGGTCAGTCAATCCGGAAAATTTCAAGAACTTTTAAAGTTTCTTCAAATGCAGTCGCAAAAACCATCAAGCGCTATGATGAAACTGGCTCCTCAAAAGGAAGACCCAGAGTTACCTCTGCTGCAGAAGATAAGTTCATTAGAATTACCATCCTCAGAAAGTGGCAATTAACTGCACCTCAGATTGTAGCCCAGATAAATGCTTCACAGAGTTCAAGTAACAGACACATCTCAACATCAACTGTTCAGAGGAGACTGCATGAATCAGGCCTTCATGGTCGAATTGATACAAATAAACCACTACTAAAGGACACCAATAATAAGAAGAGACTTGCTTGGGCCAAGAAACACGAGCAATGGACAATAGACCGGTGGAAATCTGTCCTTTGGTCCAAATTTGAGATTTCTGGTTCCAACAGCCGTGTCTTTGTGAGACGCAGAGTAGGTGAATGGATGATCTCCACATGTGTGGTTCCCACCGTGATGCATGGAGGAGGAGATGTGGTGGTGCTACTTTGAAGAATCTAAAATATATTTTTTATTTGTTTAACACTTCTTGGGTTACTACATGATTCCATATGTGTTATTTCATAGTTTTGATATCTTCACTATTATTCTGCAATGTAGAAAATAGTAAAAATAAAGAAAAACCCTTGAATGTGTCCAAACTTTTGACTGGTACTGTATATGTTTTTATAAGTGCAATGTGAGTGCAAGAGACAGGTTGGAATATCTGAATGAAATATGGGACAAATTGACATTTTTTCTAAATTGGTTTTTCTTGCTGAACAAGCTTGAGTAATTGAAGGAAACACTTGTGTTTTGAACCAGTCTGTTGATTTTATCGTTCTTTTTGTGAGTGTACATTTCTCCGTAGCTAATTATACGGCCCTCTCTGTATTTATCGGCTGTTGGCCTACTCGGTCCAAGTTTCAAGACATGTTTGTACTGAGGCAAATACAATTTGACAGGACTGTGTTAAATGATGGCTGCCATTTTAGTCACAGAATGCTGATGAATTGTTCAGGAATCACTTGGGAAATGATTCACGATTCACATGCTATAATATGTTTTTATATTTTGTATTAAGTATTTTTTGTGGAATTGAATTTGTTGATAATATGTTTGGTTGTGGGACGTGGGACAAAGGGCCAAAATGCGGGAATGTCCTACATATGTCCAGGACGTGGTCACCCTATGTCAGTCAGTTTTCCTTGTTTTGCACTGGTCTTTGAGCTTTACACAGTTTTTATAATATTAGACCTTTAAAACATTGTAAACATATTTTCCACATACAATATTGCATGATGGTTAGTCTAGGATATATTTTCATGTTTTTTTCCAATCATATCTAAGAAAGTGAACTAGTAGAGATCAAATCACACTTTTAACCGACTAAACTCTTAGGCCCAGTGCAGTCAACTGCGATTTCCCTTTGTTTTATACATATTTCCACACTATAAGGTTGGAATAATATTGTGAAAATGATGATAATGCCCTTTTAGTGTAAGAGCTGTTTGAAAAGGCCGCCTGAAATTTCTGCCAGTTTTGGTGGGGATGGCGTTTTGGCCATCCGTGGTGACATCACCATGCGGTAAATTAGTTAATTTAGTTGTCTTTCTTTTGAATGCTCTGTTGATGTGCTTCCCAAAGGGAACCCTATTCCCTATACCTCTCAAATGCAACTCTGGACCTCAAAGCCAGTTCCACTGCATTTTGTCATTGTTCCCCTCTAATCAGGGACATATTAATACCTGGGACACCAGGTGTGTGCAATTAATTATCAGGTAGAACAGAAAACCAGCAGGCTCCGGACCTCATAGGGTAAGAGTTGAGTACCCCTGCCCTATATAGTGCACTACATTTGACCAGGGCGCTTTGGTTAAAAGTAGTACACTATATAGAGAATAAGATGGTGCCATTTGGGATGCATCCTTGGTGTGTAGAGATATATTTTCCATAGTTACTTTAGGGACAGGGTACTCCATGGTGTATTCATCTGTGACGTACAAGGGACAGGTAGCTTGGAGCAAGGTGTCAATGTAGTGGAGAAGACTAGCCCAGACAAAGGTCTTCAATTCCCAGTGTGACACTGGCTGGGAATAATTGAAGCCATATTCATAATATGGTCAGGAAGCCTAACCCAGGAGGACACTAATTAGTCATGTATAAAACAAATAACAAGAGATGTGCAATCACAGATGTTAGTGGACATGCACTAACATAGCAATTAGATTAAGAAAAACATTCGTTTATCTAATCTTATCTAATCTAAAATGGACTTGGCAGCACAATAACACCAGAACAGTATGGTTGGTTGCACATGTTGTTAACAGTGAAATATTGTGGATGACCTTTGCCTTTGTTTGTAACTTTATAGGCTCTGGGGAATCATGAGTTTGACAATAAAGTGGAGGGACTTATCAAGCCGTTTCTCCAGGAGGTAAAGTTCACAGTCCTCAGTGCTAACATCAAAGCAGATGACACACTTGCCCCACACATCAGCGGTCTTTACTTCCCATATAAAATATTTGATGTTGGCGCTCAGAAAGTGGGCGTGGTTGGATACACTTCAAAGGAAACGCCTGCCCTGTCACAAACAGGTACAATTATGTTTTGACTTGATGAAGGTTTTGATTGAAGTTTTTGCTCCTCTACATCCTCTCTCTTAATGTATCTTCCTCGTCTCCTCAACCTTCTATTCAGCTTCATTTATTACATTGTTATTCATATTCATGCCTTTGCTCCTCCTACTCTAGTCCCTCTCTCCTCACAATAATCCATATTGATCGCTCTGTCCAGGTTGTTTCATATTTGCTTCCAATATTTATACTATGATTTTAAGAATGCCTTCCCTTAGATCAGGGTTTCTCAAACTCGGTCCTCGGGTCCCCAATGGGTGCACGTTTTGGTTTTTGCCCTAGCACTACACAGCTGATTCAAACAATCAACTAATCGTCAAGCTTTGATCATTTGAATCAGCTGTGTAGTGTTAGGGCAAAAACCATAACATGCACCCCTTGGGGTCCAGAGGACCGAGTTTGGGAAACTTTGCCCTAGATACATTTGAATAATTTCCCTGATGTAAAATGTATTTTTGTTCCTCATTCTGTTGCAGGACCTAACTTAGTGTTTGAGGATGAGATTGATGCCCTTCAGCCCCAGGTCGACAAACTCATCACCCTGGGGGTCAACAAGATCATCGCCCTCGGTCACTCTGGCTTCGTTACGGACAAAGAAATAGCCAGAAGGGTGAAGGGTGTGGATGTGGTCATCGGAGGACACAGCAACACATTTCTGTACACAGGTACGGTATGCATTATGTTTGCCACAGACTACTTCTGTTTAATATCTACAATCATAGTAATTTCAACCAGCCGGGTCTCTCTCTGAGCGTGGGGTCGAGGTTACAATCATAGTAGAGACTGTATTTCTTCAGAACACCTTCATTTGGTTAACTATCATACGTTTTTGTAAGGAATTGTGGAGCCTACAGTTGATTGATTCCCGAACTGAACATGCATGTGTCCCTGGCTGTCTTCACAGTTTCCCCTCCTTACAAGTGATCCAACAGTGAAATCAAGTAACAAAAACAGACTTGAAATATAATTGAAAGCGCCAGAGGTCTCACTCTAACCTCAGCACCATAGAGACTACAAAACAACAAAGCATGTTTTATGTCCAACCAAAGCACATAAATTCTGCCTACAGTCCTGTCAAGGAAGAAGGCTTACTAATAGCTCAACCAACAACCACACCATACTATTTTTGCTACACAGGCAGTATATTACTTTATGCCTCAGCAGCTCTTGGTCCATGATTGAGACCATCCACATCCTTAGTTAGTGCAATTTCAAAAAGCTGGAACATTGAGTATCTGCCACCTGTCTTACCTGCTGTCCGGTGATGCCCATCATGGCCTTTCTCTTTGGGTGCGTCCTAAATGGCACTCTATTCCCTACAAAGGGATTAGGGTGCCATTTGGGATGTAGCCCTAGTTAGCTTGCGCTGTGCTGAGCTTTTTCCACAGCAACAGCCATGATTCATATTGGTTAGAATCAGTGTACTGGCTCGTTCCCATGCCTGCAAGTTCAGTACCTACGCTATGCTGCTTTTTTAAAGAGGACTCAGTGATGGCTGTAAGGATTCCCTTTGAAGTGAGGCCTACACTTTAGAACAGTTCACTAAATCACAAACAGTAAGCCCTGTGTTCAGTAATTCAGGCTGTAAAGTCAGTGTATTTCAGGCTGATGTGGTGGGAAAGTAAGAATCCAAGAAGTCTATGGCCTGGATTAATTCCAAGACACATTATATAGCAGCTAATTGAACCCCAGTCTATATCTTTATGCATTCAGTCATTTAGGTGTTGTAAGGCTGTTTTCTTAAGCGTGATTACAATGCAACTGATGATTGATAGAAAACCTTCATTAATTCCATTGTTTACATTCACTGTTTCGATAGGAGAGAAACCTTCCTCCGAGGTCCCGGCGGGTCCCTACCCCCTCATGGTGAAATCAGAGGATGGGCGGGACGTCCCTGTGGTGCAGGCCTTTGCTTTTGGGAAATATCTGGGTTACCTCAAGGTGACATTTGACGAGGCTGGCAATGTGGTCCAGTCCACAGGCAACCCTATCCTGCTGGACAGCTCTGTACCAGAGGGTGAGTACAGTACTACTGAGTAACATCAGGTGAAGTTGACAGTAAGTGCATCCTACATTTCACCTTATTCTCTACAGTATATAGTGCATTACTTTTTAACAGAGCCCTATAGGCCCTTATCAAAAGTAGTGTAGGAAATAGGGTGCCATTCTGGACCTACACAGTGAAATGGACTTCCGATTGCATCAGCAGTGTAAGGGTTGGTGTGAGGTGTGACCCAGGTGCGGTGCAGGATAGACATTAGGCAGAGATGGTGAAACAAGGATCTTTACTGGTGGTTCCAAAACCAGGATACAAAATAACGGACTGGTCACAAAAAAATTAAGGAGGAGCAAATTGGTCTCCAAAAACAGGCTGACAGCAAACATACAAAATACTAACTATGACTGAAAACAACAACAATGAAACAGGGAGAACACTTCTCAAGCACCTGTACATACATCTCGCGATCAGACACTGATTAGTACTGTTTGGCATCGAGAACTAGTAGAAGTTCTCGATGTGAGGGCATAAATACACAGGTGAACAGGTAGACACAGGTGACACCGATAAGATAATGATTAGTCCAGACTGTGAGTGAGGAGGTGCCTAAGGTTGTCGGAGGATGACACCTAGTGGGTCGCTCCAGAACTGCGACCCCCTCCTGTAACACAGCATTGCTGTTATCTTATCCCTTATGAAATAAGTGTGCCAATAACAAGTTTGGTTTTCTTGACTCTCTGTATAGCATGGTGATACTTTCCTATGTTTTGTAATCATTTCAATGTCTGGTGGAGAACACTACTGAACACTACGGTGGACACATACCGTTGACCTTCTAATTCAGACTTTTATTTCATATTTACTACTAAGAACTAATTCAATGAGAATGCGTTTCACTGTGTCTTAAGCATGAGTTCACTATGTTACCAATCTGCTATTTATTTGAATTTTTTTTACGTCAAGACTACACCAGTTTCAGTACCACTATCAATATCATTATTATATATAAAATTATTTGACTTTTTATATTGTATGGAGTATATAGTAGGGCCGTTCCATGAAATGAGGGCCTTTTGCGTCCCTTTGATATTAAGTAGAAATTGTGCACCAATATTTAATTTTAAAGCCTGTTATATTAAATGAAGTGCACTTTAATATAGACACATGGATAATTCAATAAATATTATTTGTAATATAAATAAAGGCTTCCTAAAATGCCAAAATTCAGCATTTGACATGTCCCTCCGTCAAACCTGTCACTTTTAGGACGATTTTAATCCACTTAATCCCAAAACTTCTCAGTTTCACTATCATTGTAAAGCCCTAGTTATTTTTGTTTCTGAAGATAATTTTTTATTTCATGTGATTAGTGATTCATTTACGTCTGTCCCTCATTTTAAGGTGAACCCTGTTAGGTGAACTGAACTCTCGTTTTAAAATGGTGAAACTCCTTTCCTTTTTAAAACAAACATTGAACAGCTAATAGTCAAATCACAGTGTAAAAGCAGGTTCTACTCTTTTTGGCCATTTTCTGGCCAACTGAGTGGGTTGAGCATAACACGTCAACCTTGTTACCCATAGCTAGACAGACTAGACATTTTGTATATACACTGCTCAAAAAAATAAAGGGAACACTTAAACAACACAATGTAACTCCAAGTCAATCACACTTCTGTGAAATCAAACTGTCCACTTAGGAAGCAACACTGATTGACAATAAATTTCACATGCTGTTGTGCAAATGGAATAGACAACAGGTGGAAATTATAGGCAATTAGCAAGACACCCCCAATAAAGGACTGGTTTTGCAGGTGGTGACCACAGACCACTTCTCAGTTCCTATGCTTCCTGGCTGATGTTTTGGTCACTTTTGAATGCTGACGGTGCTTTCACTCTAGTGGTAGCATGAGACGGAGTCTACAACCCACACAAGTGGCTCAGGTAGTGCAGCTCATCCAGGATGGCACATCAATGCGAGCTGTGGCAAGGTTTGCTGTGTCTGTCAGCGTAGTGTCCAGAGCATGGAGGCGCTACCAGGAGACAGGCCAGTACATCAGGAGACGTGGAGGAGGCCGTAGGAGGGCAACAACCCAGCAGCAGGACTGCTACCTCCGCCTTTGTGCAAGGAGGAGCAGGAGGAGCACTGCCAGAGCCCTGCATAATGACCTCCAGCAGGCCACAAATGTGCATGTGTCTGCTCAAACGGTCAGAAACAGACTCCATTAGGGTGGTATGAGGGCCCGACGTCCACAGGTGGGGGTTGTGCTTACAGCCCAACACCGTGCAGGACGTTTGGCATTTGCCAGAGAACACCAAGATTGGCAAATTCGCCACTGGCGCCCTGTGCTCTTCACAGATGAAAGCAGGTTCACACTGAGCATGTGACAGACGTGACAGAGTCTGGAGACGCCGTGGAGAATGTTCTGCTGCCTGCAACATCCTCCAGCATGACCGGTTTGGCGGTGGGTCAGTCATGGTGTGGGGTGGCATTTCTTTGGGGGGCCGCACAGCCCTCCATGTGCTCGCCAGAGGTAGCCTGACTGCCATTAGGTACCGAGATGAGATCCTCAGACCCCTTGTGAGACCATATGCTGGTGCGGTTGGCCCTGGGTTCCTCCTAATGCAAGACCTCATGTGGCTGGAGTGTGTCAGCAGTTCCTGCAAGAGGAAGGCATTGATGCTATGGACTGGCCCGCCCGTTCCCCAGACCTGAATCCAATTGAGCACATCTGGGACATCATGTCTCGCTCCATCCACCAACGCCACGTTGCACCACAGACTGTCCAGGAGTTGGCGGATGCTTTAGTCCAGGTCTGGGAGGAGATCCCTCAGGAGACCATCCGCCACCTCATCAGGAGCATGCCCAGGCGTTGTAGGGAGGTCATACAGGCACGTGGAGGCCACACACACTACTGAGCCTCATTTTGACTTGTTTTAAGGACATTACATCAAAGTTGGATCAGCCTGTAGTGTGGCTTTAATTTTGAGGGTGACTCCAAATCCAGACCTCCATGGGTTGATACATTTGATTTCCATTGATAATTTTTGTGTGATTTTGTCGTCAGCACATTCAACTATGTAAAGAAAAAAGTATTTAATAAGATTATTTCATTCATTCAGATCTAGGATGTGTTATTTTAGTGTTACCTTTATTTTTTTGAGCAGTGTATATCGTTTTGTGAAGCTTGCATTCAATTGCCACTCCCTGTTGCACACAACAAGCTTCCATTGCCTGTGTCACGAGGTGCTTTATGGCTGATTTTAAGATTAAATCGTCAACACTGTTAAGGTCAACCCTATTACAGTCAACCCTGTTACTTTATTTGTCACTTACTAGGCACTTACAATAGTACATTTTTTTATTTAACCTCTTGAGATGGGAAAACATGTTTTCTTATTAATTTTAACATGTTCTTTATGACCGAATGTTAAAATGAGGTGAAATCAAGTAATATTTAGCCAAGTTACACTTCTCAAAAGGCACCGAATCGACCCAGTAACTGCATATGATTTCCTCGTCAGACCCCAGTATTCTTGCTGAAGTAAACAAATGGAAAAAGGCCCTGGCAAATTACTCCTCCCAGTATGTGGGGGAGACCCTGGTGTATCTCAATGGGACATTTGAAGAATGCAGGTTCCGAGAGTGCAACCTGGGAAACCTAATCTGCGACGCTATGGTGAGTTAGTAATACCCAGGAAAGCTACCCAAACTTGGTACCTTTCGGTCAGTCTGTAGCCTACTGATAACATCCTGTTTTTTTGCTGTAGGTACACCACAACATTAAATATGCAGATGAGCTTCAGTGGAACCATGTCAGCTCCTGCATCCTCCAAGGGGGATCAATACGGTCATCCATAGATGAACGCAGTCGAAATGGTGAGTGTGTGTGTGCCTTTATGGAGCCGTTTCCCAGACACAGATTAAGCCTAATCATGGACAACCCAAATAACTTCAATGGAGATTCTCCATTGAGCTTGGTTTTTTGTCCAGGAAACCGGCCTTGTGTGTTTGAGAGAATAAATCCCAGCATTGGCTGAGGCAATGTGGAAACGGAGTGAAATGTGACATTTTTTTTAGGTTCCATCACGATGGAAGACCTGATTGCTGTGTTGCCATTTGGAGGCACCTATGATCTGGTGCAGCTGAAGGGCTCCACTCTGAGGAAGGCTTTTGAGCACTCCGTCAGGAGATATGGAGGGAACACAGGGGAATTCCTTCAAGTATCAGGTATCAGACTGTTTAATTTTAATTGGTAAAAGGGTCACAATATGACATCAACCAGTTGACATCAGGCACTTGTCTCTAGTAGCTATCTATCTCCAAGAGCCTTTGCACCTACATTGAATTTACTCTAGTTTTTGTAACATTTGTTTGCTTTTCCCTTTTAGTGTTTGGTCTCCAACTGTTTTGGACTGACTTTATTTTCCTCATATGATCTCAATAGGATTCCATGTAGAGTATGATATGTCAAGGCCCCCTGGGGAGCGTGCCAGGAGTATCAGTGTGCTCTGTACGAACTGCCGGGTGCCTGTCTATGAGCCACTGGACGACAGCAGGCTATACAAGGTGGTCCTGCCCTCCTACCTGGTGGAAGGAGGAGACGGATTCTCCATGATCAAAGAGGAGAAGCTAAAACACGATAGTGGTGAGCGCATAGAATTGAATAGATTAGAACACTATGGTTGTCTCCAATGGCACCCTATTCCCTGTATAGTGCACCAGGATTGCGGTCAATTCCAGTCAATTCAGAAAGTAAACCACCAAATTCCAATTCCAAATTTTCCTCATAGAACAGCATTGGAAGAGAACTGGAATTGAAATTAGAACTTCAGTGTACTTCCTGAATTGTCCAGAATTGAAATGCAATTGACCCCAACCCTGTAGTCCACTACTTTTGACCAGAGCCCTGGTCAAAAGTACTGCACTAAATAAGGAATAGGCCAGGGTGCCATTTGGGATGCAGACAATGCATCTCTAGGGATGAGCTCACAGACTCATAACTTCCTTATGAACAGGAACCCCTTGGGCATTTTCTGTTGCACTGTGGTTGCACAACTATTACTTATCAGATCAAAGTTGTTGGTTGACCAGTTCATGGGGGTTGAAAAAATTTAGTTTCTCTTACAGGTGACATGGACATTTCAGTGGTGGCCAGCTACATTACTGAGACGAAGAAGGTGCATCCAGCTGTAGAAGGACGTATCAAGATTTCCAACTCAAATTCAGGAGGACCTGGACACACAACTCTGTTAATCCTGCTGGGTCTGGTGATGGCTCTGTCTGGGAGCCTATGAGATTCCTGCTGCAACACTAGCTCGCCATCGGATGTGTTCTTCTCACCAACTCAGCATCCAAGGGAAGTTCTCAATTCTAGTTAGTCTAGTGAGAGGTCAAATTTAAAGGACATTGTTCATGGATATTTCTCCAATGCGCTTAGATATTTCTATATAAATACTGCAGCTTGATATGCACTGTAAATGATGCACTGTACTTCTCTAAACACAGGTTTTGTTTTGTCAAGTCTCATGTACAGGAACTGCTGTCAAGCTCTTGCTCAGAAATTCTGTTATATAATAATAGTCCCTCAGAGTACCAACATAAGCAAACTTCAACAGAGATGGAAACAGATGACCACTGCCTGTTTTTAATGTGTGCACTGGGCAGAGTATGCTTAACCAGCATTAGTTTATGGGAGAAGATATACAAACACCGAGCTCTATAATAGCTTTGTAAATGTTTTAAAGCTCTTTTGGACCAGAGAGGTATCTCGCAAGGAGATAAACAAGTTGGTGATCAACCTTTTGTAAACATTTAGAGACAATTCTTTACAAGGCAAGGTAGCGACTTTTCTATGGTCATGAATCCTATACCTGGTTTCACTCTATACTGTCGTTTTTGATAGGATGGTAGAAAATCTGATTTGGACTGTACTAGAGTTGGTTAGCTTGTTTCGTCAAATACCTGTTTATTCTAGAGAAATACATTGAGAACCAAAGAGGTCATGTAAATGGAGCTTTTCTCCGAGTTGTAATTTGTAAATAGCCTATGATAAATGTGAAATGTAATGTTTTATATTTGGCGTAGTTGTGATATTGAAATAAGCTTGGTAGTAGTACATTATACAGATGTGTACCAAAAGCGTCAACGTTAGAAAAATAAATGAACAAACGGTTATTTTCATTTTTTTTTTGTCTAGTAGCTATTTCTGCATATAACTGATCAACTAACAATTCAACAGTGATTTAAAAGCCGACATTGAACTGACTCTCATGCAAAAAAAAAGTACAAAGTCTCAAAACTATGGAATGCCTCCCATGATGTGTAATTCCATCTAATGTAGCGTTTCAAAAAGGAAACAATGAACTCCCTCAGTGACTCCAACTTGTGAGTGGTGTGTCATGGAGCTTTGCTGCCCTCCCCATTGATCAGAACTGTGTCAAGGACACAGGGCAGAGTAGTATTCTGAGGACAAGGGCCATTCTGTCTCAACCTCCCACAGGCTTTATTCATTACAGGGGCCAACCATTCATCTCCACTGATGGCTGGCACCAGTGGACTGGGAATGCACATGGTGTTGCTGATTACCACATCCACAGAACGTTTCTCCTTTTCACAGTGGACTAAAACATGACGGCAGATACAAGACTCCAAGGGAGGACAGATGGAAATCGTATTAGGTCATATGCAGGATACAACCTCAATTTAGAAAACGGAGAAGTTGACTTTAAACTTGGATGTGAGAAACTAAACATGCCCCTAACCACAGGTCTAAACTCAGCTTATTGCGCCAGCCTGCATCTCTGCTGTAAAAATACACAAATTAAACCATAGTTACCATACAAAATACACAAAACGCATCAAAACAGAGACATTCATTTGGTCTGGATAACAGTCATCTCACTTAGAGAAGGGAAGACATCTTAAATTGACACATCAAGCTGAAGATTGACCAGTGTGCAGCCAGCAAGGAATTATTTAATCCAATAAACCAGAAAAGATGACATTGTACATTGGAATGTTGATATGCTCCCAGAATTTGCTAAGTGTATTGCACTTCCTTTGGCTCCAGGGAAGGAAAGCATGATGCTATCTACATCCACTGGCTACTACCGGCTCTCTCTGTCCCTGCTGAGTAGACAACATACTGTGATGGAAATTGTTATGTTGGTGCTTTTCTATTCTATACATTCCTATGTTCCATTCATGTGCTGTTCTAATAACCAATTTCTGTGTTCATGCAAGTGACTGATCAGACGAATCCTCACATATCAGTGTCTAAAATGTGAGGAGAGCTAACTAGATTGTAGCTTGGGCAAACCTTGCCCCAATCCCATTCTTATTAAGGTTGGTGTGAAACTGTTATAACGTGTTCTCTCTCTCTCTCTCTTCCCTGTGAAATGTTATTAACATGCTGCTCTGGCTGATAAGATCTCAGCAGCTATCATGTTTTCTGCTCCTCCAGAGGATGGTGAAACTAATGAGCTGCCAACTCTGGATGAGCTCCCATTTGCCCCTGTAGATACGGACGATGAGTAATGATTGAAGGTTGTTTTCATTTAACAAGTTGAGGAAAAGGTCATCTAAACCCTTAACCTGTTTACATTATGTGGAACACTGAGCTGATGAGCCAGCACCAACCTTTTGAAGGTCTTAGCAGAACTGTTAAACAACAGGGATTTATATTTTGACTAAGTTGATGTCCCAGGGACAGTTAGTGAAAAACATAGGCCAATCCGATTGTGATATGGAAACAATGGTTAACATTGAGAGATTTATTCACCTCTGAATCTACAGATCCCTTGTGCATGTGTGTCTATTTTTGATACTTACTCCCATTAATAGAAGTATAACCTCGATTATGATTATAGTATTACCATACTAATTGGATTGTACAACCCAGAATGAACGGTTTGAAATGACGTGTTTTTTTTCTGTGTTGATTTCCCTTACTTTAATAGGACTATAATATTGTGATAGAACCTCCTTTGAGGAAGCTAAAATCTGTTCGTGCAAGTGACTGATCGGTCGAATCCTCACTTATCAGTATCTGCAATTTGGCAGTACGCCCAGACCTTATTATGAGAACGAAAGATATCTCAGTTTCAAGGTCTCAGCTTAGAGAGAAGCCTCGTGAGGTATTGGTCTGTCACATGTTATGAACCAGTATTGGTCAGTCACATTAATGAAACAAAACAGTAATGATTAATTAATTATGCTAAATCATGCAAATATAACTTCTGTGACACTTGAAACCCTACCTCTTTAAGGAATACCTGGAATAGTCTAACAGTAATCCTTCTACACCCCACCTTCCCCAGTGGTGGTTGTCCCACTGGCTATCCTAAGTTGAATGCACCAATTTGTAAGTCGCTCTAGATAAGAGCGTCTGCTAAATGACTTAAATGTTAAATGTGTATAGTCGTATATAAGACAACTGCTGGGACTGCCCCGAGTAGAGCTCCTGATTGACATGTGTACTATGGTGCATTGAGTTGGTTGGAACCTCTCCAGCGCACTGACAATAGAGGATGATTCATTTAAGATTGACTGAGTGTCCCTGTGTAAGAATTTCCATGACATCCAATAAGCCAGATAAAATATGATCTTTGACCACCCAGTAAAATCAAGAAATATATTTTATTATTGTACATTGGAATGTTGATATGCTCCCAGAGACATTGGCATTTGTTAAGTGTATTGCATTTCCTGTTATCTACATCCACTGGCTACTGTCGGCCGATGACTCTCTCTGTCCCTGCTGAATAGACAACATATCATCACAGTATCCAACGGAAGGTACACAAACTACATCCTGGTACCTTTCTACTTTATAAATAAATGGGTCTTAAATGTCTAAATAGTTTGGAAAAGACATGCAGTTGATAACCACATTAACAAAACACAAAGTGAGCGTAAACTTTAAGGGGCCCTGTGTCAGAGCGATGCTTAAATTCAATAAGACATTATGTATCCAAAACTGTGTTATACAGCAGAGTAATTACATTCCAAGTCACAAGATGGCATACTTAATATGACAAACGGATTACAAATGGTTGCCCTGTGTATATATAATTCTTAGGAGTTTACCTTGCCGATCTCTGGAAACAGTTCTTCGACAGCAATATCCATCAGAACGTAAGTCATCTGAGGGGCAGAGGACAGAAACAAGAGGAGAGAAAACAGATAATCCACCATGAGACCTTAGCTGCAGACAAGCTGTTATTTGTCTCCTTGTTTGGCTGTTAGCTTTACCTGCTTGTTAAGAAGTGGCTGCTGAAAACCATCAAAGAGAAGCCTGATGCCCTCGTATTTGGCCTCCTGTCCGATGCACTTTTCCACAAAGTCTATGAGGTGAAAAAACAGAAAGACAAATCAATACAGTATAACTGAACTGAGGCCCACTTTGTCCATAAAAACCCTTGTCACCATAGAGATAACTATACCTTTGGCAAGTGATCCCATCAAATTATAATTTCTCTCATTCTATTTCCATGGATGACATCATTCGAGTTCCTGCCAGAACATGCTTTCAAAAGTAGGACCAGGCTTCCAGAGAATAGAATGAAACTGATAATAAATCAGGGAGTGTTCACCAGACACAGGTTGTGTCCCAAATGGCACCCAATTCCCTTTATAGTGCACTACTTTTGACCAGGGTCCATAGGGGCACATGCACAGGCAATGGGACGTATTTCTATGATGAAACTGGAGTGTTTCTGAAATGGAAAATATCTGGGCTTGGAGAAAACTCTTCTCTTTGTGTCTGGATGTCATTTGTCAACACAATGTGACTGAAAGCGGAACTTGCTCGGTTGCTAATGAGTTGTGGTTAAGACATGGAAGACACATCAATGAATCATGCTGTTGGCTAGACATCTTGTGTAGAGAGAGTGCATACTTGATCTGTTCAACAGTTGGAAGCAGATGAAAATATCAGTTGTCAGCCAATGCTTAGTAGTCTGAGTTTCAGTCTGTTTGCACAATAACAATTTGGTGTGTGCTTATTTTTCCCTATTTCACACGTGTGAATTGGAAATGTTTTTTGCATATCCCAACTCCCCCTGATACCCCCTCAGACTCCTTGTCACTCCTTGTCATGCAAAGTGTGTCATGTCATGACCAGGCTAAAAGCTTGGGTCTAACCTGGCAAATAATTAATCATCTCTTCAAATGCCTTCTTGGCTCTTCTCTGCTTGTCTACTGTGGCGCGTTCCTCACTGGTCTCACAGAACACAGCATCTAATATTGGGCAGAAAACATAAATCATGAGTCTGGGAGAAGTGGATCAAGTAAGGCAAGGCAATTCCAGAACTGAATGGACCGGAGTTCACAACACCACCATAGTGAGATTGCTAAACACTGAATGTGTGTGTTGCCCTCAAACCCTTTGGTGGAGCCTTAGGAAGGAAATAGGAGGGGAAGAAAGTCAATAAACAGTCAAAGGTTTATACAGTTGAAGTCTGAAGTTTACATACACCTTAGCCAAATACATTTAAACTCAGTTTTTCACAATTCCTGACATTTAATCCTAGTAAACATTCCCTGTCTTAAGTCAGTTAGGATCACCACTTTATTTTAAGAAGGTGAAATGTCAGAATAATAGTAGAGAGAATGATTTATTTAAGCTTTTATTTCTTTCATCACATTCCCAGTGGGTCAGAAGTTTACATACACTCAATTAGTATTTGGTGGCATTGCCTTTAAATTGCTTAACTTGGGTCAAACGTTTCGGGTAACCTTCCACAAGCTTCCCACAATAAGTTGGGTGAATTTTGGCCCATTCCTCCTGACAGAGCTGGTGTAACTGAGTCAGGTTTGTAGGCCTCCTTGCTCGCACACACTTTTTCCATTCTGCTCACAAATGTTCTATAGGGTTGAGGTCAGGGCTTTGTGAAGGCCACTCCAATACCTTGACTTTGTTGTCCTTAAGCCATTTTGCCACAACTTTGGAAGTATGCTTGGGGTCATTGTCCATTTGGAAGACCCATTTGTGACCAAGCTTTAACTTCCTGACTGATGTCTTGACATGTTGCTTCAATATATCCACAGAATTTTCCTTCCTCATGATGCCATCTATTTTGTGAAGTGCACCAGTCCCTCCTGCAGTAAAGCACCCCCACAGCATGATGCTGCCACCCCCGTGCTTCACGGTTGGGATGGTGTTCTTCGGCTTGCAAGCATCACCCTTTTTCCTCCAAACATAACGATGGTCATTATGGCCAAACAGTTCTATTTTTGTTTCATCAGACCAGAGGACATTTCTCCAAAAAGTACGATCTTTGTCCCCATGTGCAGTTGCAAAACGTAGTCTGGCATTTTCTATGGCGGTTTTGGAGCAGTGGCTTCTTCCTTGCTGAGCGGCTTTTCAGGTTATGTCGATATAGGACTCATTTTAATGTGGATATAGATACTTTTGTACCCGTTTCTTCCAGCATCTTCACAAGGTCCTTTGCTGTAGTTATGGGATTGATTTGCACTTTTCGCACCAAAGTACGTTCATCTCTAGGAGACAGAACGCATCTCCTTCCTGAGCGGTATGACGGCTGTGTGGTCCCATGGTGTTTATACTTGCGTACTATTGTTTGTACAGATGAACGTGGTGCCTACTATTGTTTGTACAGATGAGCGTGGTACCTACAGGCGTTTGGAAATTGCTCCCAAGGATGAACCAGACTTGTGAAGGTCTACAATTTTTTTTCTGAGGTCTTGGCTGATTTCTTTTGATTTTCCCATGATGTCAAGCAAAGAGGCACTGAATTTGAAGGTAGGCCTTGAAATACATCCACAGGTACACCTCCAATTGACTCAAATTATGTCAATTAGCCTATCAGAAGCTTCTAAAGCCATGACATCATTTTCTGGAATTTTCAAGCTGTTTAAAGGCACAGTCAACTTAGTGTATGTAAACTTCTGACCCCCTGGAATTGTGATACTGTGAATTATAAGTGAAATACTCTGTCTGTAAACAATTGTTGGAAAAATTACTTGTGTCATGCACAAAGTAGTTGTCCTAACCGACTTGCCAAAACTATAGTTTGTTAACAAGAAATTTGTGGAGTGGTTGAAAAACGACTTTTAATGACTCCAACCTAAGTGTATGTAAACTTCCGACTTCAACTGTATTTATTTATTTTTATTTAACCTTTATTTAACTAAAGGGGGCAACATTACTGAAGCAACACACACACACCTGAGCACCCGCGCGCACACACCGTACCTCTGAGCATGGTGACGAGAGAGACGACACGGTGCTCCTGCAGGATCGTGTCCAGTTTGTGCTGGATGTAGTTATCCATGTAGGCCTCCAGCGTGTTCTTGAACAAGATCCGCCCCCCTGACAGGATGTGGTGCAACCAGTCTGGCATGTGGAACACCGCTCGACCTGCCGGTCAAACAATCTTTCAATCAAATGTATTTTGTTACATCAGCAGTTGTCACAAGCACAGTATGTCAACACAGTATGTCAACACAGCGCCAAACACAATGAGAAGAATTCTGACTGAGTAACAGATGTGGGTCTGACAGTCCTGACATGCAAACCTTGCTACAACTAGGGCTGTGACGGTCTTGGAATTTGGTCACAATTCAGTTTGTACACTTGCTTACATGGATATGCGTCTTAATAAAACCTATTTTAAACAAGCCATTACACTTTGTTATTATCATGGCATTTCATTATTATTATTATTATTCAGTTTATTACTTAGAAATATTAATCAACAAATTAAGAAATGCCAGGTTGGAGAGAATGTTGCATTTTCATATTGACAACATTAACGGAGTCAAAATGAAGATATATGCCTACTTTGTCCATGTGTTGGCTTTTCTGCATATTTTTTTATTATACAGATCCTATTTCGATGCACAAAACCATTCAAATAAAGTACGATGGGTTTTCTCCCACTTTTCACCAAATATTCACATAATGTCACAAACCCTGCTGCTGTCATTCGATGGCATATGTTCTTCAAAGAGAGGACGCCGTAATGAGAAAAATGATGTAGCCTAAGCTACGGAAAATAGCCTATTTACAAGATTAAATCAAGACAGAAGTGTTTGATTTTTATTCAAGAGAGTCCAGACGGGCTACTTTAGGAAACTTTCTGAATGGACATATAGGCCTATAGAGAGAATCAGCGAACTCACAGGCACACCCATGCAGAAGCACCTGCCAATCAAAGCCACCAGCTACTGTCAGACACAAGCAAATATTTATCCTTCCCTTAAAAACTTATTTTAAAAAAACTAGGCCTACCTTAGGCTTTCCGAAAGTAGGCTATAAGATAATGAATTGACAAGGAAAGTATCAAGAGGACAGCTATGCTATAGTATGAAGATGAAATTGACAATCATGAAACTAGAAACAAATACAGGCAACATATTGTGAATATTGCATGGGAGGAAGAATTTGGAGCTGGGATATCACCTGGCATTCTGCAAATGAAAGGATACACTCATCCTCTATCTGCATCAGGCATGAGTTACTACAGTTGAAAGTATTTCATTGCCTACACTTTTGCAGGAGTAGACTTGCCAGATTGTATCCAGATAGAGCCAACCTGATATAGATGCCATCAGGCACACACCACTCTGTATCACATGTACTGGTCATGCCCGACACTAGTTCCATTCTGGTCCTCCATCTTTGAGACTTTCTCATATATATGCAATAAGGAAACCCCCGAAGGGCTTCCTTTTTGTAACACCCAAGCAGAAGCCATAGCCTTCTCGTCCTTTCTGGCTCGCTGACTTATCCTTCTATTATTTATATTTACTATTTACATCCATGTACTTACATAGTATATTTTCTTATTTTCTTATTATTATTAACATTTTGTCCAACAGCTGTTGGATAGGATAGTACCAATGTAACTTGTTGCTGTGTTTATGTTTTGTTACTGTTGACTATGTTCTATCTTTATATCTTTTATAAACCAATAAATACAAATTGCAATAATAAACACACACAACATAGCCTATTTATCAGCAACGCTGATTATCGAGGAGGAGAGTTTTGGAAAGGAACTATCATAATGTTAAACAAAATGGACTTACTGTGTGAGGTGAAGAAAACATTACTGAGAAGCCCAGCTGGGCACTTTCCTACATTTGACATTTACGAGAAGCAGGCCAGGTACTTCTATGCGTGCTCAGGCGCCCACGCTCCGTCAACATTAACAGGACAGAGAAACCAGACACATGCTCATTGCTCACATGGCGCGCGTAAATGATGGTATGAAATAAACCTAAACATCTTTCTGTAGGAGGTTGTGAACTCTGCAAACAACGTTTCCACTCCGATAATTAAATTACTGTAATTAATACAGGCATTAACATAAATGAATGTAACCAAATGACAGGGATTAACAGTTAATTGCCAGTTTTACAAACGGTAGGCTACCAACATACATTCATAAAAGTGCATTGCTGGCCAGACTTTATAGCCTATGCTACTATTCTACTTTGCAGGGATAGGATGGCGGCATATTTCTTTGTCTCGCCTATGGCGGCATATCAGCCAGGACCGGGCCTGATCAGCATTGATGAATATATAAACGAAGAAAAGATTCTGTATCAAATTATATCATGCCAGGTTGGAGAAGATTGGCGCATTGTCCATTTTTTGCACAACATTAGCGCATTATAAGCCTCAGAGCCAGAATAACCTTGTAGACTGCTTTTGAATAATTAATGAAGTCAAACACATCCAACCTTTTTTCAAAGAAGAACCAATTGATTTATTTACTAGCAAGCAATGAAAATCTGCATTGTATAAAAAGAAAGTCAACACATCAAGCAATTTTTTTAACTGAAGCGCTCTACACCCCCGCGCATCTAGGGATTTGCTGCTCAAGCATCAAAGAACAATTGGAAATAGGAGATCTAGAACATTTAAGACATACTAAGTTAGCGAAATTGCTTATAATCATTAGTAAACACTATAAGGTAAAGTTTATCTACATGAAAATAAAGTTAATAAAAATGTTTAAAAATCCTAAAATGAATATAGGCCTATTTGAACAGTTTTGATGGTATTTTGTTTTCATTTCAGACTTTATCCATAACCTTCAGTTACACGGTTATTCAATTACCGTCACAGGCCTACCTACAACCTTCATATCATTACATATACTGTACTGTAGTGGCCATCACTGGCAGTACTAGAACCTCCATATTCTCTCACTAGATTCACTTCTAATGACAGCCGTATTATGCTCAAGATGTTTGTGTTATTTGTGTGACTACCATATTTCAAATCATGGTTCAGTCACAGGGGACTACTTCTTCCCTAGTGCTTGGTCACTTACCCATGAACATCATGTAGTCATACATCCCTTCTACTGACATCATCTCCATAAAGCAGTTCCGGTTGCGTTTCTTCTCCGGGCCCTCGGACAGGTTAGCGTTGTTTTTGTACAGGTCAGTGAAGAGCTAGGGAGACAGGAAGATACACAGAGTATTTTATATTGACGAGAAATGAAAGACTACAAAACACACAACTCAGTCTTTCAAGGCAGTTCAGCGTGAGTCAAACCAGTCAATTAACAAGTCTGACACACTTACTTAATCATTTCAATCATAATTTACATGCATAATTTCCATGGAATATGTTCTTTCAAAAGTGCTAAACCCTGGTATAAACCCTGGAATTACCAGTTAGTGGAAGGAACATTATGGTTAGTGGAAGGAACATGCAAATATTTATCATTGTGACTTAAATAAGCACATCCTGTCAAAGAGCAGGGCTAAGGAGTATTTGACACCGTGACAAAATACTAAAATATTTGGTTCCAGCATTCACCGTGGGGTCATTCGGAAAACGGCTGACAGTTAAGAGGAATGGTTTTAATTTATTAGTTAGGGTCAAGGCCAATGTTCCCTCTAATTTTTTTCAGCACTGAGCAAATTTCAGGTCTGCTGAGCGCAAGCTTGAACGTTGTGAAAATGTTGTGCAACTTCCAGCACACGTTTACTGTGAACACTAAGGCTGTACCCGCATTAAGTTAGTTTCAGACAGAGGTCAAGTAGGCTACTGTGGCTATTTGATCATAATGTAGGCCTACCAGAGTGGCCTACCATCAAAAACAATGGAGAAAATGCATCCCATAACATTTTAACACGGAAATAGCTGTTCTATCATTCAGCCTACAGTAGCAGCCAATGTGTGGTGTTCAATGTAGGCCTACATTCCATGAGACTTTTTGGAGAAAAAAACATGCAGGGCTTGACATTAACCTGTTTATCCACTTGTCCTTCAGACAAGGTGGTGACGGAAAATGAAACCAATTATTAAAAAGTATTATTATTCTCATACCATTATTACAGAAAATAAGACAAATTATGCTATCCTTTGCCTATTGGCTACTTAGCTTATTCAAACCTGTCTCAAAATACAACACTGCCCCTTTAAGGCAAGAAAAAGCTCTCTACCCGACTCGCTTTTCAAAGATGCTTTTGTAGGAAGCAATCACTCCCCCATTACTGACTACAAATTATCTATAACTGGGGTAATAACTCACTAAGTAGCAAAGGATATGAACAAAAGTGCACACGTAGCTACATGCAGCTCTCGCTTTGATCTCAAAACAAGTGCATCTACTCACGACCGCTCATGCTGTAAACACAGTCCAGTCCAAAGTGAATGGCACAGATCTATATATGGTAATGGTCTAAGCTGCACTGGTTTGTGTAGAGTACGAGCTGAGTCGTTGCCTGCAATAAAATGTTGAAATGAAAGTGGCTAATATTGCATTGATTTGATCACAATTCCCACAGTAAAGGGAAACATTGATAGTATTAACTAAGGGGGAAAACTCTAGAAAGTTGAGTGAAGTTCAATCTCGTGCTTCTCTCTGTGCGGGCTGATATTTCTTCTGCACGGAAGTCCACCCGCGCACAGCTTAGAGGGAACATTGGTCAAGGCTGTCCACTGAAGCAGGATACATTCCTAGATATATCTGAGATTGATGGGAGGGATGTATACAGTCAGTGTTCACTGTGAAGTGTGTATGTGGTCCCAGGGCAAATGGGGAGTTTTGCACAGTTGGCACGCACAGTAACTGTAAAGATAAAGCCAGGGAATTTTGGGGAAATGTGACCTTATTTTATGATTTTTTTCAAAAATGTGGGGTATTTTGCAACCCTAGCCTCACCTTCTTGTTATTCTCAGCAGTAGGGCTGAGGATGGTCAGCTCTGGTCTGCTAGGTTTGGCTTTGGGAGATTCACAGGAGTTGAAGAAAGACTGGATGAAGGGCTCCAGGTGCTGTCCTTTCTGGCAGGCAGAGATGCAGAGGAAAACACAGACAGAACATCGTGATAAATATCAGTCGACTGAGCCGGAAGGCCAGCACCACTATTGTCTGATCATATCTACTTCCTTTACCAGTTAAATTAAGTCCCAGAGATTAACTATAACATTGATATATTGGTATTGGCTGGAATCCCAAGAGACTTTCTACTATTAAAAGCTCATTGGATAAATGCCTCTTACCTCTTTTATAATTTTTCCAGGGACAGACCTGAATATTTTACCTGAGAAGGAATAAAATCAATTAATCAACACAGCTCCACATGGAGCTACATAGCTAATCAATGATGGATTTCTCATGTATTTCTCCATGGCATCTTCAGTCCTATAAATTCTGTATGAATGTATGGTCAAAAGTAGTGCACTATATAGAGGATAGGGTGGCATTTGGAACACAGCACATGTACTTCTCCAGGGCATCTTTAGCCCTCCTTGTGTTATAATGTATGTATGTGCTATTAAATGCTGCATAAATGTTAATGATGTACTGTATGAATGTGTTATAAAACGCTCCATACCGAGGTTGACATCAGGCAACATCTTGTCCATGAACTGAGATTCCATGCTGTGAGGTGATAGGAAGTCTGCCAACAACTGACTGTTACTTAGCTCTGGGTGCTGCACCAGTCTCTGTTCCCAACACACGCATGGATAAAGGCATGGATGCAGGCACGGATGCACGCACCACACACACAATATAAATACGCATATGCACACACGCACAGGACTCACCAAAAGTGAGAGAGATGAAGATAGAGTAATTTGATTTAAAAATAATAATAATATGCCATGAATACACTACAGTTACTATACACTATGCAGAGCAACAGGCCTATGAATCAATACCTGCAAATACTCCTCAAATTCTTCCCTTTTGGATGATAAGAACTCATAGTTCTTTGGTCCAATAATTCTTTTGGAGGGAAGCTGTGCATCTGCAAATGAGCCTGTGCAAAAGAGAACAAGGTCAAATGACCATCCACAGGACGGAAATAAAGCCAAAAAGGTACACTTTGTCTGTCGAAATGTGTGAGAAAGTATAAGCGTCATCTTACCATGAAACTCAGTGAGTTTATTTTCTAGAACATAGAATTCCATGTATCTTCTGAAGATGGACCAGTTCTCTGTTTCTTGCCCCACTAAGAGAGAAAACCGCTCAAGAATCAACAGAATTGAAAACCAACATCAATATGGCAGTTTTATATTTCCCAATCCCCACACTGTCATAATTCATCAAATCTATGGCTGCGTCCCAAATGGCTCCCTATTCCCTACATAGTAGGTAGGGCGACATATCAAATTCATTCGATTCATTTGAATGTATGTTTTAGCTCCATGTTCCAAATGCCAATGTATCGCAAGAATCAAGGTTCATTCTATCCCCGTTTTTATTAGCGTTAATGTATTTTTGGTCTCGTCTCCTTCGCTCCTTCTGTGTTGTGTGCACCTTCCCACCCGCACACAGACACCATGCCCCACCCACTGCCACTCACAACAAAGACTAAATAAACTGCTTGTTGTCAGAGAGGAAGAAGTTAAACTTGCTATTTGCATTTTAAGTTTGGTCCAACAGAATTGGTCATATGGACACCGAAACGCTTAAAGATATTATTTTACTGTAATAGAGAACGATAGTATTTTATATGTCTCAACTCCCAACTTTTATAACAGAGCAGACCCTACTAAATCGGGAGAATCAATAAACATGACTGTGGAAAATTAATGCTCCGTTTCTGTCGCGCTACCACTAGCAGCATTTTAGCCACAGACTTATGTGCTAGCTGTCTAGTCTGTTTTTTATCAACGTGCAATGAGCATAAAAATACTCATTTATATGAGGAATTGGCAACTCATTCTCATTCTGAGAAATAAGCATGTTCTTATCCAGGTAGGCCACTAAACAAAGTGAACTGGCTATGTTGTTCAAACAGTTGAGACGGACAGGAGGGTGTCTCCATAACAGTTCAACTGTTCTACCTTGTTAGCAAGCAAATAGAAGGCTTATGGTTGAAGGCTTATGTTTTAGCCTAGGTATAATTTTACAAGCTCTGAATTCATTAGATTTTTGCTAACTGTTTGAAATGCAGCGTATTTTACCTTTAAATTGTGCAACAATGCTTATTTAGAGAAAGAGTAAAAAATAATTGAGATATACACTACCAGTAAAAGCTTGGACACCTATTCATTCAAGGGTTTTTCTTTATTTTTACTATTTTCTACATTGTAGAATAATAGTGAAGACATCAAAACAATGAAATAACACATGGAATCATGTAGTAACCAAAAAGGTATTTTATATTTGAGATTCTTCAAATAGCTACCCTTTGCCTTGATGACAGCTTTGCACACTCTTGGCATTCTCTCAACCACCTTCATGAGGTAGTCACCTAGAATACATTACAATTAACAGGTGTGCCTTGTTAAAAGTTAATTTGTGGAATCAGTTGTGTTGTGACAAGGTAGGGGTGGTATACAGAATATAGCCCTATTGTCACGATCGTTTACGAACGAGACGGACCAAGGCGCAGCGTGATATGCATTCATATTTATTAACGACTAAACATACGACAAAACAACAAACGAAACGTGAAGTCCAAGGTAGCATACAAACAACATACCTTACACGGAACAAGATCCCACCACTAACAGGTACCAAAAGGCTGCCTAAGTATGGTCCCCAATCAGAGACAACGAGCAACAGCTGCCTCTGATTGGGAACCACACAGGCCAACATAGATCTATACATTGTAGAATCTACACCATAGAAACAACATAACACGGAATATACACACCCTGACTCAACAAATAAACGTCCCGAGTCAGGGCGTGACACCTATTTGGTAAAAGACCAAGTCCATATTATGGCAAGAACAGCTCAAATAAGCAAAGAGAAACGACAGTCCATCATTACTTTAAGACATGAAGGTCAGTCAATCCGGAAAATTTCAAGAACTTTGAAAGTTTCTTGAAGTGCAGTCGCAAAAACCATCAAGCGCTATGATGAAACTGGCTCTCATGAGGACCGCCACAGGAAAGGAAGACCCAGAGTTACCTCTGCTGCAGAGGATAAGTTCATTAGAGTTACCAGCCTCAGAAATTGCAACCCAAATAAAATGCTTCCCAGAGTTCAAGTAACAGACACAGCAACTATTCAGAGGAGACTGCGTGAATCAGGCCTTCATGGTTGAATTGCTGCAAAGAAACCACTACTAAAGGACACCAATAAGAAGAAGAGACTTGCTTGAGCCAAGAAACACGAGCAATGGACATTAGACCGGTGGAAATCTGTCCTCTGGTCTGATGAGTCCAAATATTAGATTTTTGGTTCCAACCGCTGTGTCTTTGTGAGATGCAGAGTAGGTGAACGGATGATTTCCACATGTGTGGTTCCCACTGTGAAGGATGGAGGAGGTGGTGTGATGGTGTGGGGGTGCTTTGCTGGTGACACTGTCAGTGATTTATTTAGAATTCAAGGCACACTTAACCAGCATGGCTACCACAGCATTCTGCAGCGATACACCATCCCATCTGGTTTGGGCTTCGTGGGACTATCACTTGTTTTTCAACAGGACAATGACCCAACACACCTCCAGGCTGTGTAAGGGCTATTTGACCAAGAAAGAGAGTGATGGAGTGCTGCATCAGATTACCTGGCCTCCACAATCACCCAACCTCAACCCAATTGAGATGGTTTGGGATGAGTCGGACCGCAGAGTGAAGGAAAAGCAGCCAACAAGTGCTCAGCATATGTGGGAACTCCTTCAAGACTGTTGGAAAAGCATTCCAGGTGAAGCTGGTTGAGAGAATGCCAAGGGTGTGCAAAGCTGTCATCAAGGCAAAGGGTGACTACTTTGAAGAATCTCAAATATAAAATATATTTTGATTTGTTTAAGACTTTTTTTGGTTACTACATGATTCCATATGTGTTATTTCATAGTTTTGATGTCTTCACTATTATTCTACAATGTAGAAAATAGTAAAAATAAAGAAAAACCCTTGAATGAGTAGACGTGTCCAAACCTTTGACTGGTACTGTATATCGTGAATCGCCCATAACAATTTTTAGGCCATATCGCCCAGCCCTATAACATAGTGCACTACTTTTTAACCATGACCCTCTGATCTAACGTAGTGCATTATGTAGGTAATAGGGTGCCATTTGGGACTAACTCAAACACCTCTGGTCGTGCCCTCACCTTCCTTCCTGTCGTTGCGCTCCACGTCGATACAGAACACGGGGACCCTCTCCCTATTGACCTCGTCAACATAGGGGATGGTGATGCTCCAGGCTGACAGGTTCCTCAGGACTCCTGGAGTACTGCAAGCCTCCACTGGGGTGTTATCCTCCACCACCATAGTGGCCTCCTCAATCTGCAACACATGGGATGTGTGGGACGACAGTTGAACTAAGCTCATGAGGCACTTAAAAGTTATATTCTTCTAGAATCATATATATAATTTATATAAATGTCAAAAAATTGATGTACCAATCGCAAAATGCCCCATTAATTGTACTTAACTAAAAAATAAACCCTTTGGTAGTGATAAGCATGAATACCACCTATTCATATACAGATAGTGGAGGATGAGGTGGTGATCTTGGTTTCTCTTTGGGTTTCAGTTTTAAAGTATTGCACTATATCGGGAATAGGGTGCCATTTGGAGGGGAAGTCCTCACCGCTTCATCTTCAGCGTTGACCATGGCGTACGGCAGCATCGCCCCCTCCATGGTGGTGCTTTTGAAGACACCTTTGATTTTGCTGCCGATCCTGCTTATCCCGAAGGTCTCCCCTCGCTTTGAGATGTTCCTTCACAGGCACACACAAAAACATATGCGTGAACAACACACAAGTGAACACACCAACTAGGAAATGGAGAGACAGAAAGGGATTTGTGTGCGACTGCATGTGTTCCTGTCAACAGTTGTTGAGGCCACTTATGCAAACGTCCGATGTTAATGCAGCGTTACCTCAAGTCAAAATGCCATGCTGATGTCCAAATCCGAACATCAACACACAAAGACAGCACACATTATGAAACGTTGCACATTCAATTAATGCCATTAGGGACAACCAATGAGGGTTGAAGAGAGATGGCGTGAAATTGAGGCCCTTACACTGTCCCAACAAGGGGGACTTGGTCGGGCAGCTGTTATGCACAAGAAAACTATGGACGCTCACACAAGACAAGGATAGATAGACCAAGAGAGAAACGGCATGAGAAGAGACTAGTAATAGGGCTATGGGCAATGCAATCTTTCTCCTCTTCCTCCATTCAACACTCGCGACTTTGTATATTCAAAAGGTCCAACTAAAATAGGACCAATTCAACACGGTAAAGAGTAAGTCAATACAAAAACACATAAACACTAGCTTGCAAAAGCCTACTGAAGACAAGAGCCCCACAATGCTTTTTTTCTACGGCAAATTTTGGTTCCATTCACTGCATTCTGGGCATATTAAGTCGCATCTCTTGCATGCAGCTAAATCAACAGCAGCCAGCCGCGGGACATTAGCATCATTCAAAAAAAACATACTCACCTCATATCATCCAAACTCAGACTATTCCTGGAATAGTAGGCACAATGAATTACCGGCTGCCAGGATAAACAGGACCAGCCCACAAATAGTACAAATTAGCCTCAGTGCCCTTTGTGGGGATGTGGTGGGCGTCAACAAGTCTGTTACTGGGGCCAATAATAATAATACACCACCCTAATGTTAGACGTAATGTCTTGTAACAGTCTTGATGTGAACTTGATTTAGACTTTCTGTGTATTACATGAATGAATATAAGATAAATGAAACTACTCTTAACCTTTCTGTTTAGAAGAATATGAAAGCTCTCCAATGAAGTCTCTATTTAGGATGTAAAGACAAAATGTGTGTATTATATTATATGACTATAAAAAACTAACTACACTAAACACTTTAGCTTTGAATAATATTAGACATCTTTCCAATGTTAGTCATTACCATCAGGAGCACAAACCTGTTCATTCTGGAATCCATTTTTGGAGACTCCACCCCCCTCAGCAGGTGTCTGAAATACTGCAGAGAGAAAGAGTTCTAAACGGGGGGAAACGTTATCCATTTGTCAACTTGCTTTTGTATAGCGAAACTTGCTTTTGCATATCGTTTGACTTTGTCATATTATGTATGCCCTATGTGCAATTTAGAACACAGATGGATAGTATAGTACAGTGTAAGTGCTATACTTGGGCTCACCTCGTCGCTGTGGCAGAACATGGGGGTGAAGACGCTCTCCAGCAGGGACAGCACATGCTCATAGGCCTCAAACAGGCAGTGCATGGTCTGCAGCTTCACCACTCCCTCGTAAGGCCCCTGTGCAACTAGTGGCAATTATTGAGTGCAGTAAAACACATTAAAACAATTTAAAAGAGCCATGTCATATATAAGGTTTGTGGACTTTGAGAAAAGAGCACATATCTGATTGAAAAAGGCTGCTCACATCACACTACGTTGAACGATGATTGTGTCCTGAGAATCTAGCAGAGCTTACTGTTTCGTATTTCCTCGATGATGAAGGGGTCAAAGCTGATCTTGTCGACGCTCTCCTCCAGGCAGTAGGTCTCATAGAGGTGCTGCACCTCTCTGTGTAGGCGCAGCAGCTCAGAGTCACTCAGCTCCGGACACAGGATCTTATCATTGAACTCCTCTGGAATGACATGAAGGAGAAGTAGATGAATGCTGTTACAGTGTCACTTGATTTATCAACGTTATATAAAACTTTCAAATTCACAGTAGCGGTGTGTGGGTAAAATCACTGGGGAAGCCAAGCAAAGGGAAAAAAAGCCATATTACGACCTACGTGTTGTGATAATTGCGTTGTTTGTCCGATAACCTGTTAGTTCATATGCCTTGCGACCTTGATATATAGGCCTAAAGGCCGAGACAACCACTAAATTCAACCACTTTGTTTCATCACAAAACCGGAGAGCAACATCTGTCCGGTGGAGTCCACAAACCATATTGCATGTAACAAACAGTTACATGACCTACAGCATGGTCAATCAAGTTCATGTTTCCGACATTTTCGGACTACTAAACAATTATTGATTTAGAACACCGTAGGGTTAACACAAGTCGCAAAGAAAACAGGAGCTGCCTCCACTATTCCAGCACCATTTCAACATCATCAAATCACCTATGCTTAGTCTAATATAGTGACAACTAAAAGATTGCATAAACTCTTTAGTCCAATCAACGTAAGGTAGATATGATGTGGCTGTCCATGGCACTAATTTATGTGTGTGTGTGCGTAAGTAAGTAAAAAAAACATGTTGACTCACTTGTAGAAAAACGCCATTGCCATCCTCCTCTCTTTCATGTTGCCGAAACGGTCTATGACTGTCACACAGTACACGCTTTTAGTTTTTGTTGTCCTAGGCTACCTGGCTAAAATGCTTGCTGACTAGCCTGACTTCATGGGCAACGATTAGCCATCTAGTTAACATTAGCCTACCACATCTAGCAACATATTGAACTTCCATCCTGTCAGGCCTGAGGCACAATGTATACATTTATGGTTGGATCAGAATCGCCGTTATAATCATTGGTCAGTACGGAGAATTAAGTAAAACCACAAGTCCAAATTCCTATCTCCGTCTATGGCTAATTTAGGAAAGGGTCAATTTCAGCTAGCTAGCTAGCCACCAGAGGAAAACAACACAACGAGATGCAACAATTCAAGTTTTTTTCTGTAAATGACGTTTGGCTTGATGTGATGTGATTGGCGTGAAGCCAAATCCAAACTTGCTTCCCTTGAGAGGACCATTCACAGTTGAGCTCACTCAGTTTAGCTCAAAGCTGATTGACTATTATTGTATAATTGTTTTATCAAGGGAGGCCAAATGCTAGCTGGCATCCCTTGCATTCAATGCTACGGCAGCAACAATATCATACTATTTTTGATCAGACAGCATCAGATAGATGGGCTACACATACAGAAGGGTGCATTTTGAATAGCTACCTCTGTATTCATATGGGTCTCATTCAAACCCATGTTAATTTATGCAAATCTTAAATGGTTATAGTTCAAAAAGTATATATAGTATCAACAGGTTTTTGACAAGCGATCTAAGTAGGGTCAGTCTGAACATCTCAATGTTGGTTTGGAGTTGATAGCTGAAACAGTAAAAGGTTTAATAGGTCTAGATTTTATTTATTTTCAAGTCTATGGCCCATTTTTTTGCCATTTAAATTAAATTGGGAGCTCATTTAAATATTGCTGTAGTAAAAAAAGTTCAAATGCTATCAAAAATATTTTCTCAAGCAATCTAAGTTGGGGCAGTCTGCACATTTGAAAGTTGATTTCGTGTTAATAGCTTAAATCATTTAAGCTCTAGAGCGGGCCGGAAGAAGTCAAATAATAAGACATCTAGAGTGTCTTGCCTTCAGCAAGCACACTAATAAAGAAAGAGAAGTGGGGTTGAGTATGGTTACTCTAGACATCACTGGCTATGGTTACTCTGTGTCATCACAGATTCATGGTCTTCAATATAAATGCCTCAATATGGGAGTAGCATGCAGGTAAGATGGCAATACAAATGTATTTTGAATTGTAAGGGTGAGAATGTGGTAGGAGGGGCAAACAAAGGCCTTATATAGCCTTGTTTGAGGATCTCTGAAAGTAGTGCTGTCCTTACCCACAGTGAGGCAGAACTGGAGAACCTGCACGGCCCCCTCCTGCTTCAGGAAGTTCATAAAGCGGAAGAACAGGTCCTGTTGCTCCCGGATCTCCTTCAGCTCCAGCTTCAGCACCTGGGAAACCACAGGCAGGAGGACAGCCACAGAGTTCAGAAATGTGCTTGTCCATGCAAAACCCTAAACCAATACTTCATCTATTGGCTTTTTTTTTGTTGTCATGTCTGTTTTAGTTTACTGACTACCTTTCTAATTGTGCTTGTTAGAACTAAGAAGGTACAGTAGTACAGCTATTAGTTGTCAGTGGAATGGATACATAACTAAAAGGGCTTTCCGTTCCAAATGCCGATGGGACTAAGTACTTACAGATGTCTTCTTGGTACGAGGGTCAGCGTATTTCTGCAGGAATGGAACCAGGGCAGATTGTGGCTCCATGGCCAGCTCAGGCTGGGGAAAACATTTCAGGAATAAATCACAAATGCATGACAGCATGATGCTTCCACGTCAGGATTGGTAAAATACCCAATTTACTTACTGGAGAGTCATCAACAAATACTAGCACCATGTGGTTCACAGTATCCTGAAAGGCAACAGGAGGAATGCATCAATAAGACGGAATTTGTCAACCACCACTCAGTTAAATTGCTACCATTCCAGAAGTACATGTTCTGCTCATTTACAGTGGCTTGCGAAAGTATTCACCCCCCCTTGGCATTTTTCGTATTTTGTTGCCTTACAACCTAGAATTAAAATAGATTTTTGGGGGGTTTGTATCATTTGATTTACACAACATGCCTACCACTTTGAAGATGCAAAATAAACAGAAAACTTGAGCGTGCATAACTATTAACCCCCCTAAGTCAATACTTTGTAGAGCCACCTTTTGCACCAATTACAGCTGCAAGTCTCTTGGGGTATGTCTCTATAAGCTTGGATTGAGGTCTGGGCTTTGACTAGGCCATTCCAAGATATTTAAATGTTTCCCCTTAAACTGTACTCATATCCTTCCATATCCTTGTCTGTACATAATGCCCTGAATCTATTCTACAACGCCCGAAAATCTGCCCCTTTTTTTCTCTGTACCCAACGCACTAGAAGACCAGTTCTTAAAGCCTTTAGCCGTATCCTTATTCTACTCCTCCTCTGTTCCTCTGGCGATGTAGAGGTTAACCCAGGCCCTGTAGCCCCCAGTATCACTCCTACTCCCCAGGCGTTATCATTTGTTGACTTCTGTAACCGTAAAAGCCTTGGTTTCTTGCATGTTAACATCCGAAGCCTCCTCCCTAAATTTGAGTTATTCACTGCGTTAGCACACTCCGCCAACCCTGATGTTCTAGCAGTGTCTGAATCCTGGCTTAGGAAGGCCACCAAAAATTCTGAAATGTCCATCCCCAACTACAACATTTTCCGTCTCGATAGAACTGCCAAAGGGGGTGGGGTTGCAATCTACTGTAGAGATAGCCTGCAGAGCTCTATCATACTATCCAGGTCTGTGCCCAGACAGTTTGAGCTTCTACTTCTAAAAATCCACCTTTCCAGAAATAAGTCTCTCACTGTTGCCGCTTTCTACAGACCCCCCTCAGCCCCGAGCTGTGCCCTGGACACCATATGTGAACTAATCGCCCCCCATCTATCCTCAGAGTTCGTACTGCTTGGTGACCTAAACTGGGATATGCTTAACACCCCGGCCAACCTACAATCTAAACTAGATGCCCTCAATTTCACACAAATTATCAACAAACCTACCAGGTACAACCCAAAATCTGTAAACATGGGCACCCTCATAGATATCATCCTGACTAATTTACCCTCTAAATACACCTCCGCTGTCTTCAACCAGGATCTCAGCGATCACTGCCTTATTGCCTGCGTCCGTAATGGGTCCGCGGTCAAACGACCAACCCTCATCACTGTCAAACCCTCCCTAAAACACTTAAGCGAGCAGGCCTTTCTAATTGACCTGGCCTGGGTATCCTGGATGGATATTGACCTCATTCCATCAGTAGAGGATGCCTGGTTGTTCTTTAAAAGTGCTTTCCTCTCATTCTTAAATAAGCATGCCCCATTAAAAAAATTCAGAACTAAGAACAGATATAGCCCCTGGTTCTCCTCAGACTTGACTGCCCTTGACCAGCACAAAAACATCCTGTGGCGTACTGCATTAGCATCGAACAGCCCCCGCGATATGCAACTTTTCAGGGAAGTCAGGAACCAATATACACAATCAGTTACGAAAGAAAAGGCTAGCTTTTTCAAACAGAAATTTGCATCCTGTAGCACTAACTCCAAAAAGTTTTGGGACACTAAAGTCCATGGAGAATAAGAGCACCTCCTCCCAACTGCACTGAGGCTAGGAGACACTGTCACCACCGATAAATCTACAATAATCGAGAATTTCAACAAGCATTTTGCTACGGCTGGCCATGCTTTCCACCTGGCTACCATTACCCCGGCCACCAGCTCTGCACCCTCCGCTGCAACTTGCCCATGCCCCCCCCCCCCCGCTTCTCCTTTACACAAATTCAGACAGCTGATGTTCTGAAAGAGCTGAAAAATCTGGACCCCTACAAATCAGCTGGGCTAGACAATCTGAACACTTTCTTTCTAAAATTAGCCGCCGAAATTGTCGCAACCCCTATTACTAGCCTGTTCAACCTCTCTTTCGTAACGTCTGAGATCCCCAGAGATTGGAAAGCTGCCGCGGTCACCCTCTACTGATGCCATTAAGGCAAAATGGGAGGAAGAACTAGGGACTGATATTTCGGTGGCAGACTGGGAGGATAGCTTGGAGTATATCCACACCTGCTCCATTAACTCCAGACATCGTCTCATACAATTTAAGGTATTACACAGATTACACTATTCCAAAACTAAACTGCATAGGATATTTCCTGATACATCCCCTATGTGTGATAAATGTCAGACTGAGCAGGGTACACTACTCCACTGCTTTGCCCTATGCTCTAGCCTGTATGGTTATTGGTGTGGAATTTTTGGGGTCCTCGCTGAAGTTCTGGAGACTTCAATAGACCCAGACCCGCTTCTGATAATCCTGGGAGTGTCCGATTCCCTAAACGGATTAACCAACTCCCAAAAACAACTAATCTCTTACAGTCTCATTTCGGCAAAAAAATTAATCTTGTTGTTTTGGAAAAGGAGGGAAGCGCCCTCTACCAAATTATGGCTCAGCGAATTGGCAAACACTGTACACTTAGAAAGAATTAGATATATTCTGAACAATAAATTATCAACATTTGATCAAATCTGTCAGCCTTTCCTCTCTTACTTGGACCAGTCGGCGCTGTGAATTTGTACTTTTTAACGCACTCTCAATTGTCATATTGTAATCTACCTTTGGGCAGCGTGTGCTGGCCCCGACACTCGAGCAGTCGGGAGGGGAATAGGGTGGAATAAGGGGGGCGGGATAAAGGGGGGTATAAGTGGGGAAGTTACATCTACCCTTTTTCTTTCTACCTGTCCCTGTTCTGTATGTCGTGTTTTGTAATATTTGTTTTGTGTCCAGAACTCTGGGTCTTGTTGTTCATGTCTGTTCTCTTATGTTTAGATAAGAACTGTACACATGTCTTTCATACCTATACACCATTATTTGTGTGTGTTCAAAAAAAATTTTTTGAACAAGGAAAGCTGCCGCGGTCATCCCCCTCTTCAAAGGGGGTGACACTCTAGATCCAAACTGTTACAGACCTATATCCATCCTGCCCTGCCTTTCAAACGTTTTTGAAAGCCAAGTTAACAAACAGATCACCAACCATTTCGAATCCCACTGTACCTTCTCCACTATGCAATCCGGTTTCCGAGCTGGTCATGGGTGCACCTCAGCCATGCTCAAGGTCCTAAACGATATTATAACCGCGATCGATAAAAGACAGTACTGTGCAGCAGTCTTCATCGACCTGGCCAAGGCTTTCGACTCTGTCAACCACCGCATTCTTATTGGCAGACTAAATAGCCTTGGTTTCTCAAATGACTGCCTCGCCTGGTTCACCAACTACTTCTCAGATAGAGTTCAATGTGTCAAATCGGAGGGCCTGTTGTCTGGACCTATGGCAGTCTCTATGGGGGTGCCACAGGGTTCAATTCTTGGGCCGACTCTTTTTCGCAACAAAGCCTCCTTCACTCATGCTGCCAAACATGCCCTCGTAAAACTGACTATCCTACCGAACCTTGACTTCGGCGATGTCATTTACAAAATAGCTTCCAACACTACTCAGTAAATTGGATGTAGTCTATCACAGTAACATCCATTTTGTCACCAAAGCCCCATATACTACCCACCATTGTGACCTGTACGCTCTTGTTGGCTGGCCCTCTCTACATATTCGTCGCCAAACCCACTGGCTCCAGGTCATCTATAAATCACTGCTAGGCAAATCCCTGTCTTATCTTAGCTCACTGGTCACCATAGCAACACCCACCCGTAGTCTGCGCTCCAGCAGGTATATCTCACTGGTCATCCCCAAAGCCAACACCTCCTTTGGCCGCCATTCCTTCCAGTTCTCTGCTGCCAATGACTGGAACGAACTGCAAAAATCTCTGAAGCTGGAGACTCTTATCTCCCTCACTAACTTTAAGCATCAGTTGTCAGAGCAGCTTACCGATCACTGCACCTGTACACAGCCCATCTGTAATTAGCCCATCCAACTTTTGTTTACCCCATATGTAACACTGTGTTGTTGTTTTTATCGCACTGCTTTGCTTTATCTTGGCCAGGTCGCAGTTGTAAATGAGAACTTGTTCTTAACTGGCTTACCTGGTTAAATAAAGGTGAAATAAATAGCAGTATGCTTAGGGTCATTGTCCTGCTGGAAGGTGAACCTCCGTCCCAGTCTCAAATCTCTCAATTCTGACCAGTTTCCCAGTCCCTGCCGATGAAAAACATTCCCACAGCATGATGCTGCCTCCACCATGCGTCACTGTGGATGGTGTTCTCGGGGTGATGAGAGGTGTTGGGTTTGCGCCAGACATAGTGTTTTCCCTGATGGCCAAAAAGCTCAATTTTTGTCTCATCTGACCAGAGTACCTTCTTCTATGTTTGGGGAGTCTCCCACATGCCTTTTGGCGAACACCAAACGTGTATGCTTATTTTTTTCTTTAAGCAATGGCTTTTTTCTGGCCACTCTTCCATAAAGCCCAGCTCTGTGGAGTGTACGGCTTAAAGTGGTCCTATGGACAGATACTCCAATCTCCGCTGTGGAGCTTTGCAGCTCCTTCAGGGTTATCTTTGGTCTCTTTGTTGCCTCTCTGATTAATGCCCTCCTTGCCTGGTCTGTGAGTTTTGGTGGGCGGCCCTCTCTTGGCAGGTTTGTTGTGGTGCCATATTCTTTCAATTTTTTTATAATGGATTTAAATGGTGCTCCGTGGGATGTTCAAAGTTTTGGATATTTTTTATAACCCAACCCTGATGTGTACTTCTCCACAACTTTGTCCCTGACCTGTTTAGAGAGCTCCTTGGTCTTCATGATGCCGCTTGCTTGGTGGTGCCTCTTGCTTAGTGGTGTTGCAGACTCTGGGGCCTTTCAGAACAGGCGTATATATACTGAGATCATGTGACACTTAGATGGCACACAGGTGGACTTTATTTAACACATTATGTGACTTCTGAAGGTAATTGGTTGCACCAGATGTTATTTAGGGGCTTCATAGCAAAGGGGGTGAATACATATGCACGCACCACTTTTCCATTATCTATTTCTTAGAATTTTTGATACAAGTTATTCTTTTCATTTCACTTCACCAATTTAGACTATTTTGTGTATGTGCATTACATGAAATCCAAATAAAAATCCATTTAAATTACAGGTTGTAATGCAACTAAATAGAAAAATCGCCAAGGGGGAAGAATACTTTTGAATCTGTTTATTCTCGTATCCTATATCACTAAGCACACAACATTCTACTTACAGGATCAGCCATGAAGTCCAAGATGGGGAGGAACACAGACCCTACCATGACCTCTCGCATCAGCAGAGCTAGAGATCTGACAATCAGGAAGACATAGGATTCAGATAAAGTGCCTTATTTCAAATGTATTTAACTGTAGAGTTCTCTGTTTTTCCCCTGAGGAAGATCTGACAGGAAAATGTTCACTCAATATATTTAGTGGTTGAGATCAATAAAACATTTAAATGTCAATCATTTTGATAACAAGATAGTGATAGAATAATACAATTTAGGATTCTGACTGACAGAGGTGCATGGACTGCCTGGTTGGTTGGGCCTACCTGCAGTCAGTGGCTTTGGGAGGCATGAGATAGGCAAAGAGCATCTCCGTCACCTTCCTGAGATAAAGCAGCTCATCTCTGCGACTGCACAGGGCAACATGCAGGTCAGGGCCATACTCATCCAGAGCAGCCTGCTGCAAACCTTCAGTGTTCTTCACTAGAACACACAGAGTATTAAACCTTGCACAGCCAGTACACATTTTGTTTTCTTTATTGACCAACATCTTGCAGTGCAGAATACTACTGTGAGAATGAAAATGTGCAAAACAAATCTACAAAACAAATTGTAAACCTTTTTGTTTGGCCTTTGCAATGATTTCAACGTGCTTCATGGCAGCTTTCATCATTTTGCCGGTAATAAGTGAGGGGACATCAACCTGTGTGAAACAATTACACAGTCTGAAAAATTGCCACAGTACATTAACACTGTAGTAATCATTAGCAATATGTGGATACAAATAACATACGAAACTCTTATATACGCTAATGTTTCTGACAAAGGTTACTATTCTCCCTCTCTCCCTCCCATCCCGGAGGACCTGAGCCCTAGGACCATGCCTCAGGACTACCTGGCCTGAGGACACCTTGCTGTCCCCAGTCCACCTGGTCGTGCTGATGCTCCAGTTTCCAGTTTTCTGCCAGCGGCTATGAAACCCTGACCTGTTCACCGGACGTGCTACCTTGTCCCAGTCCTGCTGTTTTCAACTCTCTCTACCGCACCTGCTATTTCAACCTCTAAATGCTCGGCTATGAAAAGCCAAGTGACATTTAACTCCTGATGTACTGACCTGTTGCAACCTCTACAACCACTGTGATTATTATTTGACCCTGCTGGTCATCTATGAACGTTTGAACATCTTGGGAGAAAAATCTGGCCTTAATGACCATGTACTGTTATATTCTCCACCCAGCACAGCCAGAAGGGGACTGGCCACCCCTCAGAGCCTAGTTCCTCTCTAGGTTTCTTCCTAGGTTTCTGCCTTTCTAGGGAGTTTTTCCTAGCCACCGTGCTTCTACATCTGCATTGATTGCTGTTTGGGGTTTTAGGCTGGGTTTCTGTATAGCACTTTGTGACATCTGCTGATGTAAAAAGGGCTTTATAAATCAAATTTCATTGATTGTTTGAATGATATTTGGAGAACAGAATGTGGGCTGAAAGAGATGAATAGACAGAACTATATATCACCTTCTGAGCGCGTCGAACTAACACAGATGCAAAGAAACGAAAGGTCATTCTCAGTTCATCTACGCATGCCTCATCATCGGTGATGTCCCTATAAAGTAAAGTAATAAAAAGCATAATGAAATACGCATACCAAAATCCCTTTCTTCTCCAGACAGAAAACATAAGTCAAATCATGTCAAATCATTCAAAACTGTGGTAGAATCTACTCACCTGTACCAGGGATATACAAAATTCTCCAGAACCAACTCGAGCACCTAACGGCCAAATATCAATAATTACTAACTGCATTTGTGATTTTCAAAATCAAAATGATATCATTGAAATGATCCATTACTGTACCTCTGACATAGAAGCATCCACTTTTGAGTAGACTTTCAAGTCCAACCATGGCTGATAGTTTTCTAGGAGTAAAGTTGGTCTGTGAAGGACAACATTTCACGTTTTTTGTCATTATATTTTTTTATTTCAATGACAATTCAGTCATATATTTATCACACAATCATTTGCAAGCAATTAATGGCATAGTGATGTGTGAATGTGTCAGTCCGTCCTGTGCAGCACATACTCAGAGTAAATTTACATGCGCAGTAATAATTCAATATTAAACTGATTATGGCAGTTGGCAGATTATGCAATAGTCATGTAAACACCTTACTCTGCTTATCTTAAAATCGGCGTACGGTCAAAATCAAAGTAAGCATATGACAATTAAAACACCTGGTTTTCTGAGCAATCTTTCAAATGATTAGGACATGTAAACACCTTTTTAATCGGTGTTCCAGCAGTGTATTTGATCTGCGCATGTGCTAGCATAGGCCGAGCGAGCCTCCCTCTTTAGCGCGAGGTTAGTGAGTTCTGCCCAAATTCCCAAAAGCATTTGGCAATTGGAGTGTATTTGGCGTGAAGTAGTTTTCACATACAAACTTTATATGTCTCCGAAATCAGAATCAAATATTTTTCCCAAAAAGAACATGGTCGCTGTGGTAGAACTTTCATTTTGATTGCTGATTGTCTGCCATCAGGTAGCCTGATTTCAGATGTATCCATGTAAACAGGATTATTAGGGAAATCGTTCTTCTTGCAAAGCATGTAAACGTTTTAATCGAACTATTAGGCTATATTAATCTGACTATCCACAATAATCGCATTATTGTGTTAATGTAACCGTATTCTAGTGTCCACTAGATGGCAGATTAACTCCAGATGCACCTCTAACCAATGGGGTCAAATCCTTCTTAGCATTTTACTCAATGCCACTTCTGTTCATTGTTCAACACAAGATTTATTCTTAAGCATTCACTATGTAAACGTGACATCTGGTCTGTTGACTCTATTTGTGCAATATTGAGTGGCGTGTCAGCTGTTTGTTCACCCGCACCTGCCCGCAATTGCTAATAACCCATCCGCAACTTCCCGATTATGTGATTGTGAAAATTAGGCCTGCATCCGACCCTAACCCACAAATATAGAATTTGCGCTGTACGGTCAGGGATATCGGAACAACTTTTTGACATGGGGTGCGGGATTATCTTTTTTTAAGACTAATTTAGATAGGCCTATGTTCCTGCTTATAATTTCCGACATTTTGGTAGGCTATTTGTTAGTCAACTTGTCTATAATTGGATACATGCAGCTTCTCGTCATTACTTGTTGCCCTAGAAGACTAAATAACATTTCAGCTCGGATTGGATGCATATTTTATGTGATTGAAATACTAAATCAGCTTTTATGATGCTGATAAAGACCGCACCTTTTCAGACAATCCCTAACAGCGCATTTATTCTCTCAAAATGCTGAAAGAAAGAAATCATATTTCTCCACTCGTGTTCCAGAGTCAAAATGTACATTTGGTGTATGATTTTACTCTTAATATTATTTTAGGCTATGTGAGGTTATAGACCTACAGTCAGTTCCATTCATGTGCCATATTCCAAAACATTAGGCTACTGCTCTGACCCTCTCTTCTCTTCATTTTCAATTCTCCATTTCGCAGCTTTTCTTATTGAATTAAACTCTGACATTCTCCTCTTTGCCTAAGTGGATCGACATTAACTTTTTCTGCCCAAGTTCCCAAAAGCATTTGGCAATTGGAGTGTATATGGCGTGCGTATAAGCCTAAACTTTAGGGCCTAACACCAAATAAAAATAAATTAAGAAAAACCTAAATGTAGCCTATAGAAACGAATTGTACAAGATTGATACATTATGGATTTTTAATGCCTTGTTTTCTCTTTAATCAACCTGGCCGCGACCCACCCTTTATTCACACAATATTTCATGATCCTTAACGCGCCCGCGCGGGGACAGCGGGTTATGAGTCAACCCTAGCATCACTAGTGTGCTGACATACCTGTGACGTTTGCACTTTACTTTCCCACACACTGCACAGCTGTGTCCCAATTGAAACAGCTCCTGTTGCTCCTGGTGCTGGACAAATAGAGGGAGATCCTAAAGCTACAAAACGTACTTTTGGATATCCCACTTACAAATGGGAACAGACCCATTAGAAAGTTAAGCAACTGAGTCACTTCACCACTGGTATGACACTGCATTACCCTCCGACTACTGGTATTTGTGTTTTTAACATTCAACTTACTTTGTTCTTGGGCTTCATGGTGAAGAGGATGTTGGGCAGGAGGGATTCCGTGCCGAGTGAGCAACATAATGTAATCACTCCAGCCAGGAAGGACCAAAACACCATCAGAATGTGGAGATACCTGGAAGAAAAACCTGGTCAGACACACATAGCTAGATATCTAGTTAATGCCTGAACTAAAAAAAAAGAAACATTCTGAAATAATGAGTTTAGACAGGATGCTGAACTGACTTTTCCTGACACTCCAGAATGACCAAGATAACTTTTACTATATGTACTTCAAATTACATTATGACTGAGGCATAACATGTCATTCCACATTAACAAATATCCACTGTATGTCCACAAAATCTACCTATTAAGAAGTATAGTTGATGAAAGCATGAAAACCAGAAGAACGCAAAAGACAGGGTATTGACGTCCAACTTCCCTCATGACATCAATTTGCAGTCCTTGCTTCAGATTCTCCAGATAAACTCGAATACGTTCCATTTTACAATGGGGCCTGTTGAAGTAAACATTACAAAGCTAGATGGATACCCTAAACATGTGACCCATAACACCAGCTAAAATGTACTCGCTAGCTCTAATGTTATATAACATTTTATGTTTTTGCTAAAGTTAACAAGGGAGGCTCGCGACTTTAGCTACTTACTAATACACAATATAATCCAGTCAACTAGTACTTCAAACAGCGAACCATTTTATACATTTGTGCATGTTTCACATTATCTAATTTCTTCTACGATAAGTATTCCTTTTAATTATGGTTAGCATTTTATTTCCCATTTCAGAAAAAGTATTGATTTCCTTGAACGATCGACTGTTTCCTTAATCCGACGGTCGTCACTTCCGGTTCTAATCCTCACCACAGAAAATGCCATCAGACCAGAGAGGGAGGGGTAGGAGAAGCTACTGGAAGATCTTTAGTACAGTAGTCTCTGCTGGTAATTGTTTGGCATTCATAATCATAAACCATTTCGTTTCCTAAACGAAATAGCCTGTTTGAAATATTGACACGAACTTCAGTGAATAAATTAAATTCATATTTAACTATTGCTGTAAATTCCATACCAAAAGGTGTGGTGCACTAAGCAGCATGTTGAATTGTCAGCCTTATTCCATAACATCTACATTTAAATATATACAACAAGGATGAATACAGTCATATATGGATAATACAAGAGCACTGCAATAAGTTACGACAGTGATGAAAATCAAGACCTTTATTTTTTAAAATAAGTTACACACGCCTCAACAGTATAAAACAATTTATTTGCAAGAATGCAAAAACAATTGTTAGCCACCAACAATTGTTTAAAACTGGTAACAGTTTTTCAAATAATTGTTTGAGATGATAGAGGGAGTCAACTGTGTACAAAACCTGATCAAGTTGTTCAGTCTCCTTTATGCAATCCATGGGAAATAAATACATTTTTTAAAAGCTGCAGTATCCCATTTGAACTGGATGAACCCAGTCATATCCAGCTAACTCTGTGATTACATGCTCAACATGATGCAGATTCAAGACAATTGTCACATACTTAAAATGTGACAAAAAGGCAGCTCATGGATGTCTGATCGACATTCATGTTGTACATCATGATTAGGCAAATATCTGTACACAAAGTAGACTGATGGCTTTCAAACTTAAGTGTGTATGCAACCTTCCAAAAGTATTGTCTGAAAACCCAACGTTGAATTGCATAGAATTCTACGTCGGGCAGAAATTAGCATTTGAATCAAGGAAGTTTCCTCTCACAACCGCTACAAGCCAGAATGTTGAATAAAATGATATTTTAACATACTTTACCAGTTGTCCGTGCGGTCCTTTTGGCGGTGGGAATGTGAGACAATATATCTACAGGAAAGTATAATTAAATCAACTTTTCAAAGCGCTGGTAGTGCATTCAGATTTCTATCACCTGAAGCATGCGCACAAGATGAAAATACATGCTGAGCTCCTGCAACATGTTTACATGGTTCTGCGCATGGTTCAGGTGATAGAAATCAGAATGCAATACCAGCGCTCTGAAAAGTTGTTGTAATTATACTTTCCTGTGGATATGTTGTCTCACATTCCTACCGCCAAAAGGACCAACTTCACAGATAACCAGTAAAGTATGTTAAAATATCATTTATTAAACATTCTGGCTTGTAGAAGTCGTGAGAGGAAACGTTCCTAATTCAAAACACTAATTTCTGCCCCACGTAGAATTATATGCAATTCAACGTCAGGTTTCCAGGCAACCAAAAGGAATAGATCACATACAAAAGACTTACTATCCTATCCCGGAAAGAAAAAGGGACACTGCAATGCTTCTGAAAAAAAGTAGATGTCTTTCTGGTGTTCAAGCTTTTACAAAAAGTAAAATGTTCCTAAACTATTATACAACCAGTAACTACATTATCTGAATAAGCACATAGCCAATTCAGTTCAAACCATATGAAAGCAGGGCTTGTTCATTCATTCGCTCATTACATGAGATTATTTAACATGCCCAGTTTGACTGTTGGCAGTGTTAGAATAACAGCATGCAGCACCTATAATAAACAAACTACATGTGCTCTGCTGTTGCCCTTGTGCTATTTAGTGGGTGGAACAAGCCCTGCTTTCATCAATTAAGTTTCCCTACTTACAGTAGACAGGGCAGTTGTATCCTCTGTACTGAGGTAGTTAACCAACCCTTTAAAAGACAAGTTCTGAAAATAACCACTTTCCTGGAATGCCTGACCATTTATGCCAGGTGGTTAACCTAACAACCTGCTAAACATTATCTTAAAACCAATCCAAACAGAATTAAACATGTATTTTCCATCGTAAAGCTGCATTAAGCACACAAATATACATTAGCGTCAAGCTCCTCTGAGCCACTTCAAATTTAGACAAAGTGCAAAAGTCATAACCACATTTCAGGATGAACAGTCCACTGGGAACGCAACATCTTCAATAGTCATTTTAAATGGCATATTCTTTGGGGACATGGGGGAGGTGGCAAGCTTATAAAAACAGAGTGGCTGTGGTTTTGGATTTCCCACTTGCCGTGGCTAATGATAGAGATTTCTGCACGTACATTATTATTATTTGTTTTACGTAGCTGCTGGCCACTCCGCTGCATACAGTAGATTCTGCTCAGTGGTCCGCTGCTGCTTCACCCTCCTTGACATGGAGGGCAAACTTCATGTTGTAGCCTATACTAAAACGTTTTTTTGTTGTTTTTGTTTACAGTCTATGCTAAAGGCATGCTTTCCATGCCTCAAGCGTGACTTAATGTTATTATTTTTTTCAGGAGGGGTGTTAGGCTACATGCAGCCATCATGTTGTACACAAACGACATGATCGACGCTCGTACAAACTTTGTCGGTTGTAACAGTTGTCTGTTGCAAACATAAGCACGACACAAAAGCAGTCTAGCGATTTAATGTCCTTAGCTGCTGCGTTAACATGCAGCCACTTAGGCAAGCATATCAAACACAAGCATGACACACAGGCAATCAAAATCGTGATTTAATTTAATTTTCTCATTATCGCAAACATTGGCTAGTTCTTTTTTCAGCAACTCTCGCTACGATATGGCAGCATACAATGAAAATTATGACAAATAGTAGGCTGTCTAAAGCAGTAGTTGACAAAACGCCGTAAAGAATAATAGCCCGCCGGGCGATGCAAAACGAACTCTCCCATTGTCAGACTCTGGTTACCTGTCCAGATACATGCTCGCCTGCCTAGAACGTTCAGCTGCCCGGAGTTGGAAATGCTAGGCCGCTTACTCGTGCGGTACTTGCATGATTATTGAAAAGCGAAATAGCAGTTCGTAGGGCCTGAGTGTGGTTACAACGCAAAACTCAAGTGCGGAGTTACATGCAGCTATTTAGGCAGCATATCAAAACACAAGCAAGACAGAGACGCAGTCTAATTAGAGATTTAATTAAATTTTTCCATAATTACAAGCATTAGCTAAGCAGGAGGCAGTCAAAGTAGTATTGTTTTTTTTTTTTTCAGGAACTTGGCTAGTGTCTACGATAGGACTATAAAAGATGAGCCTACCTCACACAAAAACCTGATTGTTTTTTCTCGAATGGAATTAATGTGTAAGGACTGCGTCCTGCTTGTGCAACTGCAATATCCGTTAAAACAGACAGATGGTTGTATAGCCTTCATAATATATTTTTTGGAATGTTAGATCAAATCACGTCGGGGTTATTTCAGCTCTTCAGAAATATGAGGCAGAGACATAGGCTACCCATGGTTCGGAAGAGGGTGAGTAAAAAGAGAAACGTGAAGCGAGGGGGGAGTGTGAGCAGCAGCTACGTAGTGTGCGTAAAATAACATGCGCAGAACGTGATCTGGATCCTTAGCTTTAAGAGGTTTCCAGAGGGGTGAAAACTCTACTCGCAGCCATGGCCTAAAAAGTCCAAGCAACAAGTGTCTTCGAATTTGCCCTTTTGATTATCTTCTAATCTGGCAGTCTGGGAGATATGCTCCTGTAAGGCTGGAATATCATTGGACCATTGAGTTGACCTTACCATCACTTCCATTGGCAGCTTCCGGTATAACCCCACATAGCAGGTCAGTCTTCATAGTGACAGGTCAGGACCGGCCTCGACCCCTTTTCCCTGCTAGTCAGGTAACAAAAGGATGCAATTAGAAGATAGATCACAACAGAAGACCACATAACATCTAGCTAGCTACCCACATGTAACTACAGTAAACACAGTCTAATGGACATTAAAGGCAAACAAATTAACTTGAGTAAGGAAAAAGCAAACGTGTTTCTAAGCATTCACCAAGACTTCCACACCCTTCAACTTCACATGCAGCAAGGTTATGCCTTCAGGAAAAGGTCGAGCAGAACAGTGGCCTTGCTGTGTTATTTAAAAGGTGACCAGTCAAGTGGTTGGGATGTAGAAAGATTGGGGGGTATGGCCAAACTACAAGCACTACCTATAGACAGTTCATGCATGCCAATTATTCCCACCGTTGCTCAATTTGAGAAACACGCAAGATCCGTGTTAAGGCTACCAATGACTATGTAGATCCTTCTGGGTTAAGAAAATCGCCAGACTGATTTCTTAATAGCCAAAGGGATAGATTTGAAGTGGCCATCAATGAAAGACCACTTATTTTCATGGCATTTCTTTAACGAGAATCCATTTAATTTGGGCTACGAAATTGTGAAATCTAAATTGAGAATGTTTGAGATACGGTCTTGAAATAAAAAAACGAAACTCAAATGATGGAGTACGTCTCTACACATACGTAACACTTGAATTGTGGAAGATGCCGACTGCTGAGCTAAGTGATATTTTTTTTATGTCATGCAAAAGTGACATTGCAGCATATGGCTAACAAAAGCAAACCTTTAGTCCATTTCTTCCACAAGGAGCCTTAAATTTGAAGAGCGATTTTGCCGAAACATGAATTTGAAACAATTTGAGGTTTTGTACACGTGTGTGTGTATGTTTATTAAAGCAGACAAACAGTAAAAAATACAAGCCAAAATTTAAAGCCCAATAAATAGGACTAGTCTTTTTTCTTTTTACAAGACACGCCATTTCCTAGCATTATCTTCTGTAACATACAAATTGTAGTTTCATTTGTTTTAAATAGGTACATGTTTAGGAGACATAAGTTTAGTTGCTGTTAGCTACTTAAAACATGGAATCGCTAAAAACATACATAAAACTACAGCCAAATAAGACAGCTGGATCACATGATTGCAAATGTTTAATGTTTAAACCTGATTATGGAAATCGCATTAATCAACTTAAAAAATATAAAAACCAGTTCGCCAGAAGCAGGTGGAAGTGTGACTACTGTTCAAGTCCAAGCGGATTTGTAAAATATATACAAGATAAATCTTGCCAGTCACCAAATTGGAAAAAAGGGAGGCAACCATATGGATTTAGGGCAAATCAGATCAAGTCTCTAAAAAAGGATTTGGAATCAATGCCCTAATGTTCTACTTCCACTGTTGCCCAAAATAATCCTGATAAAACTCCTGGTTGTCAGATTTGTAACCATAGTTACCAGAACGATCACCACCTTGGAGCGGTTGCTGAGCAATTGGTTGAGAGCCCCAGTTCTGATTATTGGTCTGGCGCCGCTTGGAATCTGGCTGGTTGTACCCATCAGCTTTGCGCTTTCCTCCTACATTTCCACCGCGGCCACCCCTCGCACCACGTACCCCGCCGCGTCCTCTCTGTTGCACATCTCCTCTGGCACCTCTGCTTGATCCTGGACCACGACACGGGGAAAAGCCACCTCTGCCCCTGGGAGTGCCTGGCCCGCCTCGGCCTCTGGCTGGGGATGCCCCCCGTGCACCTCTGCCCCCTCTTCCTCTAGCGGGAGCCTGAAAGTCATCATAGCCGTAGTAGGGGTCCTCGTATCCCCCGCAGTAGTTGTTGTAATCATAACCATAATAATCGTAGGAATCCTCGTAGCCATAATAGTCGGGTGGGTAAGAATACCCTCCCCTACCACCACCTCTACCCCGGCCGCCTCTTGTGGGAGGGGGCAACTGAGGGGGGCCGTAGTTGTAATAATAATCATCATACCTATGGGAGAAACAAGCAGAACCATGCAAAAATGTTCAAGGCCCTGAACACACATTGACTCATTGTTCTGATTTGATGACTAAAGCCTTGTTCACACTGGCAGTTTAAGGTGACTCAAATCCTATTTTCTTGCATATCCGATTAGAATCTGTTGTTATTTTTCCGGCAGTCTGAACAGCCAAAATTCACATGGAATCAGATAATTCAACACACATTTCAAACCACCTTCGTAGATACAAATCTGATTCCTGGCCATGCAACTTGTCTGAATGGTCAAATCTGATTTATTTGCCCCCAAGTGGTTTTTAGACTGTTATTTTGCATATCTTGTTGCTTGTTAGCTGCTGTTTTGACAGTTTGACAAGAACACACTGTAGCTACCTAGCTTGTTAATTGTTTACAAACAAATGAGTGAATGTGCTAGAAAGATAAACAGCTACCTAGCTAGATAGTTGACTGCTGTGGCTAGCCAAAAAGGACTTGTTTTAAAAGGCTTTAAGTGTTATTACACTACTTGAACATTCAAAGCAACTGGGAAACGTCCATGGCAGGCATTGTTGTTACCTTAGCTTGCTACATAACTTGAGTGATAGGAAGCACGAGCACCACCGATCAGCCTACACCACTGCACACACATCCATCTTTACTATGACAACTAGTGTAGCCATGTCAGCAAATGACTGCCGTCTGAACACACACAAATCTGATTTGGTCACTTGTACCTTGCTGTCAGTACTCCAAAACGGATTTGAAAAACAAAACTGATTTGAGCATTGGGGCCTGCAGTGTAAACAAGGCTTTAGAATAAGTCATGCACCAATTTCAAATTGGGCCTTAAAGTGGAGCGCAAAAAAACATTTTGTAAAGACATCTCTTACATGTTTGTTTTGGCTGCTTGTCTCTGAGCTTTGCGTTCCTTCCTCTTCTGATCGGGGGGCTTTGCAAAGACTATGTCAATGTGCTCTCCTTCCAGAACTTTGCCATTCATTTCAGCCAACGCCTGTGGAGATGGTGGCAAACTACAGTCATCATACAATTACACACCCTCAATGCACTGTCATTTACTTACAGCAGTGTATTGTCATTATATTATCACTCAATATAAGTACCTTGACTGCACCGTCCCGCTCATCAAAGTGAACGAAGGCGTAATCTTTCAGTTTTTTCACTCGCTCCAGTTTACCAAACTTGCCGAAGGATTTTTCAAGTATTTCTTCCGTAACACTATTTGCAAGGTTTCGGACAAACAAAACTTTGACCTGTGGGTTGAAATGCACAACGGGAAACGTGTTAAGAACTTCAACTACATGGGTTACACACAGGCATCAGTGTGATCTCCACCCAGTTGAAGACTAGCGGTTGTATTTTGTTAAATGAAAGACATCCAAGGTTGATCAATCAACTGCAAGCCTATGAAGCGAGACTTCAGGTTGGAAATATATCAATGAAAATCTCCAGTGTCCTTCCACAGATTAAATAAATTGGAACCGTTCAGAAACTCATGCTATCCAGAAACCCTGGTATCGTCCCAAATGGCACCCTATCCCTCTACAGTGCCTTCAGAAAGTATACACACCCCTAGACTTTCCACATTTTGTTATGTTAGACTGAATTTTAAAATGGCTTACATTGAGATTTTGTGTCACTGGCCTGCAATACCCCATAACGTCAAAGTGGAATTATGTTTTTAGAAATGTTTACAAAGTAATACAATTTGAAAAGCTGAAATGTCTTGAGTCAATAGGAATTCAACCCCTTTGTTATGGCAAGCCCAAAAGATGTTCAGGAGTAAAAATGTGCTTAACAAGTCACATAATAAGTTGTATGGACTCACTGTGTGCAATAGTGTTTAACATGATTTTTTAAATGCCTACCTCATCTCTGTACTCCACACATACAGATAATTGTAAGGCCCTGCAGTCGAGCAGTGAATTTCAAACACAGATTCAACCACAAAGACCAGGGAGGTTTTACAACCCCTTGCAAAGAAGGGCACTTATTGTTTGATGGGTAAAAATACAAAAAGCAGACATTGAATATCCCTTTGAGCATAGTGAAGTTATTAAATACACTTTGGATGGTGTATCAATACACCCAGTCACTACACAGATACAGGCGTCCTTTCTAACTCAGTTGCCGGAGAGGAAGGAAACTGTTCTGGGATTTCAACATGAGGCAAATGGTGACTTTCAAACAGTTTATAGAGTTTAATATCTGTGATAGGAGAAAACTGAGGATGGATCAACAACAAATTTGTTACTCCACAATACTAACCTAAAATGACAGAGTGAAAAGAAGGAAGCCTGTACAGAATATGCATCCTGTTTGCAATAAGGCACCAAAGTAAAACTGCAAAAAATGTCCCCCCGAAAATGTTCTTTATGTCCTGAATACATAGTGTTATGTTTGGGGCAATCATAAAATAATAAATAATATGCCATTTAGCAGACGCTTTTATCCAAAGCGACTTACAGTCATGTGTGCATACATTTTTACGTATGGGTGGTCCCGGGGATCGAACCCACTACCTTGGCGTTACAAGCGCCGTGCTCTACCAGCTGAGCTAGAGGACCACATCTCTGAGTACCACTTTTTTCAAGCACGGAGGTGGCTGCTTCATGTCATAGGTATGCTTGTCATCGGCAAGGACTAGGGAGTTTTTTTTTAGGATAAAAAGAAACAGAATAAAGCTCAGCAAAAGCAAAATCCTCAGCAGGCCAATAATCTTAAACACAAGGCCAAATATACACTGGAGTTGCTTACCAAGACGACATTGAACGTTCCTGAGTGGCCTAGTTACAGTTTTGACTTAAATCGTCATGAAAATCTAAGGCAAAACTTGAAAATGGCTGTCTAGCAATGATCAACAACCAACTTGACAGAGCTTGAAGAATATTAACAATAATAATGTGCAAATATTGTACAATCCAGGTGTGCAACGCTCTTAGACTTACCCAGAAAGACTCACGGCTGTAAATCGCTGCCAAAGGTGATTCTAACATGTCCTGACTCAGAGGTGCGAATACTCATGTAAATGTGATATCGGTTTTCATTTTCAATAAATGTGCAAACATTTCTACAAACATGTTTTCACTGTCATTATGGGGTACTGTCAAATCATATAAAATTTTAGTCACATGCGCCGAATACAACAGGTGTAGACCTTACAGTGAAATGCTTACTTACAAGGGGGGGGGGGGGGGGCAATGCAAATAGTCTGGGTAGCCATAAGATTAGATGTTCAGGAGTCTTATGGTTTGGGGGTAGAAGCTGTTTAGAAGCCTCTTGGACCTAGACTTGGTGCTCCGGTACCGCTTGCCGTGCGGTAGCAAAGACAACAGTCTATGACTAGGGTGGCTGGAGTTTTTGACAATTTCCTTCCTCTGACACCGCCTGGTATAGAGGTCCTGGATGGCAGGAAGCTTGGCCCCAGTGATGTACTGGGCCGTACGCACTACCCTCTGTAGTGCCTTGCGGTCAGAGGCCGAGCAGTTGCCATACCAGGCAGTGATGCAACCAGTCAGGATGCTCTCGATGGTGCAGCTGTAGAACCTTTTGAGGATCTGAGGACCCATGCCAAATCTTTTCAGTCTCTTTAGGTGGAATAGGTTTTGTCGTGCCCTCTTCACGACTGTCTTGGTGTGCTTGGACCATGTTTGTTTGTTGGTGATGTGGACACCAAGGAACTTGAAGCTCTCAACCTGCTCCACTACAGCCCCGATGATGAGAATGGGGGCGTGCTCAGTCCTCTTCTTTTTCCTGTAGTCCACAATCATCTCCTTTGTCTTCATCACGTTGAGGGAGAGGTGGTTGTCCTGGCACCACACGGCCAGGTCTCTGACCTCCTCCCTATAGGCTGTCTCGTCGTTGTCGGTGATCAGGCCTACCACTGTTGTGTCATCGGCAAACTTAATGGTGGTGTTGGAGTCGTGCCTTGCCATGCAGTCATGAGTGAACAGGGAGTACAGGAGGGGACTGAGCACGCACCCCTGAGGGGCCCCCGTGTTGAGGATCAGCTTGGCGGATGTGTTGTTACCTACCTTAACCACCTGGGGCGGCCCGTCAGGAAGTCCAGGATCCAGTTGCAGAGGGAGGTTTTTAGTGATGAGCTTTGAGGGCACTATGGTGTTGAACGCTGAGCTGTAGTCAATTAATAGCATTCTCACATACAGTGTGGGAAAAAAGTATTTAGTCAGCCACCAATTGTGCAAGTTCTCCCACTTAAAAAGATGAGAGAGCCCTGTAATTTTCATCATAGGTACACGTCAACTATGACAGACAAATTGAGATTTTTTTTCCAGAAAATCACATTGTAGGATTTTTTATGATTTTATTTGCAAATTATGGTGGAAAATAAGTATTTGGTCACCTACAAACAAGCAAGATTTCTGGCTCTCACAGACCTGTAACAACTTCTTTAAGAGGCTCCTCTGTCCTCCACTCGTTACCTGTATTAATGGCACCTGTTTGAACTTGTTATCAGTATAAAAGACACCTGTCCACAACCTCAAACAGTCACACTCCAAACTCCACTATGGCCAAGACCAAAGAGCTGTCAAAGGACACCAGAAACACAATTGTAGACCTGCACCAGGCTGGGAAGACTGAATCTGCAATAGGTAAGCAGCTTGGTTTGAAGAAATCAACTGTGGGAGCAATTATTAGGAAATGGAAGACATACAAGACCACTGATAATCTCCCTCGATCTGGGGCTCCACGCAAGATCTCACCCCGTGGGGTCAAAATGATCACAAGAACGGTGAGCAAAAATCCCAGAACCACACGGGGGGACCTAGTGAATGACCTGCAGAGAGCTGGGACCAAAGTAACAAAGCCTACCATCAGTAACACACTACGCCGCCAGGGACTCAAATCCTGCAGTGCCAGACGTATCCCCCTGCTTAAGCCAGTACATGTCCAGGCCCATCTGAAGTTTGCTAGAGTGCATGTGGATGATCCAGAAGAGGATTGGGAGAATGTCATATGGTCAGATGAAACCAAAATATAACTTTTTGGTAAAAACTCAACTCGTCGTGTTTGGAGGACAAAGAATGCTGAGTTGCATCCAAAGAACACCATACCTACTGTGAAGCATGGGGGTGGAAACATCATGCTTTGGGGCTGTTTTTCTGCAAAGGGACCAGGACGACTGATCCGTGTAAAGGAAAGAATGAATGGGGCCATGTATCGTGAGATTTTGAGTGAAAACCTCCTTCCATCAGCAAGGGCATTGAAGATGAAACGTGGCTGGGTCTTTCAGCATGACAATGATCCCAAACACACCGCCCGGGCAACGAAGGAGTGGCTTCGTAAGAAGCATTTCAAGGTCCTGGAGTGGCCTAGCCAGTCTCCAGATCTCAACATAGAAAATCTTTGGAGGGAGTTGAAAGTCTGTGTTGCCCAGCGACAGCCCCAAAACATCACTGCTCTAGAGGAGATCTGCATGGAAGAATGGGCCAAAATACCAGCAACAGTGTGTGAAAACCTTGTGAAGACTTACAGAAAGCGTTTGACCTGTGTCATTGCCAACAAAGGGTATATAACAAAGTATTGAGAAACTTTTGTTATTGACCAAATACTTATTTTCCACCATAATTTGCAAATAAATTCATTAAAAATCCTACAATGCGATTTTCTGGATTTTTTTTCCTCATTTTGTCTGTCATAGTTGACGTGTACCTATGATGAAAATTACAGGGCTCTCTCATCTTTTTAAGTGGGAGAACTTGCACAATTGGTGGCTGACTAAATACATTTTTTCCCCACTGTAGGTGTTCCTTTTGTCCAGGTGTGAAAAGGCAGTGTGGAGCACAATAGAGATTGCATCTGTGGATCTGTTGGGGCGGTATGCACATTGGAGTGGGTCTAGGGTTTCTGGGATAATGGTGTGCAGATGGGTGAAAAAATCTATTTAATCAATTTTGAATTCAGGCTGTAACAAAATGTAGAATAAGTCAAGGGGTATTAATACTTTCTGAAAGCACTGTATATAGTGCACTACTTTTGAGAAGGTCCAATGGGCCCTGGTCAAAAGCAGTGCACTATATAGGAAATAGGGTGCCCCTTATTTCATCACTTTGTAATCAGCAGATCACTTACCTTGGCCATAACCTCTGGATCAGGGTCCTCGATGGGGTCTGCCCATTCCACAGTAACCGCCGTCCCCCACACTTTCACCTTGCCACTCATTAGCCTGCGTCTGGCCTGAGCAGCAGTTTTATGGTCCTCGTATTCCAAAAAGCAAAAACCTCTGTTCTTCGTTTTGTCATCCGGCTGATGGTACAGTATGACATCGTTAAGACCCTCTGTTGGAAATAGAAAAAGTTAGGTGAGGTTTGAGCAAAATGTGATCTTGAAGTATTTAGTCACAACCACAGACATGTCGTTGACTTAATAAAATGAAAAGTGCCGATCTCACCCATCAACAAAGACCTTTCTTACCTGTGACTTTAGCAAACTCCTCCACAATCTGTTCTTTCGTTTTACTCTTGGGGATGGAGCCGACGAACAGACGGTTATTGGCAACAGATATACACACTCCAATGTGTTTGCCGGGGCGTATTTCATGATTATTACACTGGGGAAAGAGGAACTCATCAACCAGTGTGACAACAAGGATAAATATAAAACAGCCATGGCACAGACAATGCCAAAGTGCATACTTCCAAACGGACTGATAGGCTGAAGAGACAGGCCATAACTGGAGGCACGGGGAGACACTGACCAGGTTTACTGCCGCCAAGGCAGCCTCTTTAGTGCAGAAAGTGACAAAGGCGTAGCCCCTGTTCAAGCAACTAAGGGGGTCCATCATTAGACGTAGATCCCAGATAGGTCCCGCCTTCTCAAAGAGGGGCACCAGCTCATCCTCAAACAAGTCTCGAGGAATTTTCCCAACAAATATCTGCAAAGGGAGGTCATGAAACATGTAATGAAGAAACATTTGTGAGCAGCTAAGAAATTGCTCAGTTCTGGAAACGTAAACACCTAAAATATTTATGGGAATCAAGGAGATGAGAGCAGAAAAAAAACATTTAATTTCAGCGTTTTACGTTTCGGCCCAGTCAGATCTTAGCGGTAAGCTCTCAGTGTAACAAGAGTCACTCCAGAATTACAAATGTCATCATAAGGCCAAACAGAGATTTGTAGACATTTGATGGTCTCATTCAAAAGTGTTCACTGAAAGATAAAGACCTTACCTCTGTTCCAATAGTGGGTTGAGCACCTGAATACACAGACTCTGGAGGGGGGCCTCCATACTTCCGCTGACCCGTTGTCACATCAAGTGTATAGATGGTTCTATCAAGCAGAGCCTGCCATTATCAAAATAAAAAATATTTAATGTTGCTGTAACCACACACAAACACAGCTTGATTTTCACACATAACCACAATAACTCAGCTATGCAAAAATATGCGATCACTTAGTCTAAATTGACAGACCTTTGTAACATTGGTATAATATTCCGACAAGCTAAGTCAAGATCAAGTCTGCCAACAAACGAGCAAGACTCTTACAATAGACGATGCCAAGGTGGTGGGAAGAGATTGGAACAGAGGCATGCTTTCATCTCTAGAAAGAGTAAACTTTCTTCCTGGTGTTGACATACTTTTATTTTCGCCTCATCTGGTCCTTTCGAAGAATCTGAAACTCTCGTCCCTTGCTTCTCCCTCTGTCTGTAAGTCTTCATTACTCCACAGAGGAAGGCACTTTTGTTCTGAAAAGGAAAGTTGGAACTTTTAGTACTCCCTGTGTTTCATTAAATCTTCAACCAAGTGTAACACAGCAGCCACTTACTTGCACATGCGACAGGTCACTTTCCTTAAACTGAAGCAGGACTTGCAGAGCACCTTCTTCGTTAAATTCTTTCAATGCTTCAATAGCTCTTTCATCTAGGTCACTGTGCGCTACCAGGCCTGTAGAAGAGCAACATTTCAAGTATAACCATTGTTTGCCAAATGACAGCACAAAGAACTCACGGGAATATGTCCAATCAGATCTTAGCGGTAAACCATCACAGCAATGTTGAGTTGCTCCAGTATTTGAGTATAGAGATCATCATGTGGACAACAAAAATAGAAGAAAAAAAGTGTAGCCACTGCTTGAAATAGTCCCAGCTAGGCTAGTTGTACATTATAAAACATGAAGAATTATGATTTATGCTTACAGAAACCAAGGAAATGCACATAGACAAGCTCATCAAGAGGGAAAACTATCTCGCTATCTGCACCCACAACCAAAAGTATGAATCCTACTGCATGAACCAGGTCAGCTGTACATGCACAAATAAATTCAGACATCTGAACCGCCCCACTACGCTTTTCTTTTGCAACCCAGTTATAATTAGCATGTCCATAATGTGCCTTCAGGGGACATCACCTGTCCCAGCCTAGGCAGCTGCTGCCATTGTTCCTGCATATGTCCAGCTGGCCCCAGAGACCATATCAAGACATCCTTATTAAAGACATGCTCCGAAACTTTGGCGACAACTAAGTATTTTTTAAACCTCCCGCTTTGGGCTGGATGTGTCAATGTGTAGTTCATACATGCATAACCTATTAGCAGAATTAGGGTTAGCCATAGCCTAGCTCCTCAACTCCATCCAGACACAATGCATTCAAATTCACAGTTCTTTGGTATGGTGAGAATAGCTTTGTTGTTACTATTATTATTTTGTAAATAAATTACAAAGTTGCTAAGCTTCTAATATAAATACAAACTAAAAAGGATGAACATGACTCAAACTGTTAGGTTATGCATAACATGCACTTACCTGCTATGTAAATTGCATCTAGTTTTTCTGCAACTTTCTGTGGTAAACCAGCATCTAATAAAGGCTGGTAATTTTCTGAATGGGTAACTTCAGCTGTAGTTGTGTCCACTTCAGTTGTGTCTATTGGTTCCTCTGTACCATTCCCATTTACATGATCGGTCGCCATCTGTTTAATGCAATGATGAGTAACATTTATTGAATAACCGGGTAAGTTCATGTTCCAATAACACATAAGTACATACTGCACTTTGCCAATTCAAATAAGCAAAACATACAAACTTCCAGGCATATCATCATTGGTTGCCTGGCATTAAATACTATGTCGGGCAGAAATGAGTGTTTGAATCAGGAAAGTTTCCTCTCACCACCTCAACAAGCCAGAGTTAAATAAAATGATATTTTAACGTACTTTACCGGTTGAACTGTTATTTGGTCAATTTGGAACAGGAATGTGAGACAATATATCCACAGGAAAGTACAATTATATCACGTTTTTAAAGTGCTAGTCGTGTTCAGATTTCTATCACCTGAAGCATGCACAGAACCATGTAAACAAGTGCACGAACTCGACAAGTATGCATGCATCTCCTGCATATTTTTTTCTTCTTGTGCCCATGTTTCGAGTGAATCTGATAGCACTACCAGCGCTCTGAAAAATTGATGTAATTATACTTTCCTGTGGACATACTGTCTCACATTCCTACATCCAAAAGGACCAACAGGTAAAGTATGTTAAAATATTTTATTCAACATTCTGGATGTAGAGGTCGTGGGGAAACTTTCCTGATTCAAAAGTTATTTTCTGCCCAACTTAGAATTCAATGTAATTCAACGTCGGGTTTCCAGGCAACATCATTGCATACCAAGAAGCATTTAATTAATTGTCCTAGCCAGTTTGGTGCATATAATACAAAATCAACCCTCTTATGCTAATCACGAAACTACTGCATTGAAGAAAAATTGTTATGACAAAAGCCATCATCAGTTATGTTACGTCGATGGTCTTGTTTTAACAAGTTAGCTAGATACTAGGGTGACAGGGCAATTTTTTTTGTCAGGACACGTCCATAGACACCAGGCTTTATACTGAACATATTACTAGCTACCTGCAATGGGAGTCATTGGCTAACATTTGCATTCGAGCAGAACCAGCTAACTACTTACTGTAGTTACCTAACGTTACACGTGCTTTGTGTACACCCATATTGTTTTCTGAAACTCTTGCTGCAGGCTTGTTTAGCAATGCATTGGAAGCTAACTAAGTAGCTTAACTACGTTAGCTAACGTTACTATAACGTAACTGAAAACAACTTTAACGTAAGTTAGATAGCCAAGAAGAGATGTTTGAGAATGTCAGTTCAACGTTTCAACGACTTAGCTAATGTATTAGTTTGATAACTAGCAAGCAATGTTTCAAGACTTCAGTCTTTGCAATCCCATTGACCAGTCCACGAGACATCCACGCCGCGTAGCCAATGTTAGCCATAGCAACCTGCTAGCTAACGATAATTAACCTTTGTCATGCGTTTCTCGTCTGAAATGTCACACCGCTTCGGCCTGGTCTCCAGCCGCAAAATAACTAGCTAGCTAACGTTATCTAGCTCTGACGAATTCATTTTCAAAATGTCGGGTAGGACTCGAGTTAGCTAACCACTTTCCACATTGTTTGAGAACACTGCCAGAACAAAACACGTCACTTATCCGCGTAGCTTCACCAGTTAACACATCATGTAAATACTTACCATTCGATAGTTCGGCAAGGTACAAGGTGATGATTTTGTCTGATTTCAGGGTGTGTGTAAAAAAATTAAAATAAACTACGATTCCCGGCTTAAGGTTTAGGTCAGGTTCCCGTCCCGATAATGTGAAATGGCGGCTAGTTGACTGACGCTGAGAGTGTGTTGTCACTAGTTACCACAGCCACAAAGTCAAACTTGACTAATTCATATAAACAGAAATGAGTTTTGGGGTCTTAATTTAAGATCAGAGTTAGGCATATGGTTAGCAGTGTGGTTAGATTTAAAAAAAAATAGATATTGTAGAAATATGCGGGGTGTGTGACTTTGTGGCTGCGGTAACGAATGACGACCCTGCAAGTGCTTCTACATCTATGGGGTTTCTGCAACTGCTAACCACGGGCTGGTGCATTTTCGCGGGGCTACTGGGAGCTTTTGGCACAGAACAGAAGCAATGGCATAGTAACATTATTTGTCCAGAACAAACAGGGAGACAAATGTGTTAAATATTTCAGGCATCATAACTATCTTCTTCACTCTTCATGTCCCATGAATTAGTTATTCTCACAAGAAAAGGTATCAGGGCATATGGACCCAAATGAAAGTGTACAGTGCCTTCAGAAAGTATTCACACCCCTTGACTTTTTCCAAATTTTGTTGTTTTACAGCCTGAATTTGAAATAGATTAAAATGAGATTTTTTGTCACTGTCCTACACACAATACCCCATAATTTCAAAGTGGAATACTTAAAAATGAAAACCTGAAATGTCTCCAGTCAATATTCAACCCCTTTGTTATGGCAAGCCTAAATAAGTTTAGGTGTATATGTTCCTGAGTGGGCAAGTTACAGTTTTGACTTAAATCTGCTATAAAATCTAGGCAAGACCTGAAAATGGTTGTCTAGCAATGATCAACAACCAATTTGACAGAGCTTGATTAAAGAATAATGGGCAAATGTTGTACAATCCAGGTGTGGAAAGCTCTTAGAGACTTACCCAGAAAGACTCACAGCTGTAAACGCTGCCAAAGGCGATAAAAAAATAAATAATAATAATAATTTCACCTTTATTTAACCAGGTAGGCCAGTTGAGAACAAGTTCTCATTTACAACTGCGACCTGGCCAAGATAAAGCAAAGCAGTGCAATAAAAACAACAACAACACAGAGTTACACATGGGATAAACAAAACATACAGTCAATAACACAATAGAAAATCTATATACAGTGTGTGCAAATGTAATAAATTATGGAGGTAAGGCAATAAATAGGCCATAGTGCAAAATAATTACAATTTAGTATTAACACTGGAGTGATAGATGTGCAGAAGATGATGTGCAAATAGAGATACTGGGGTGCAAATGAGCAAAATAAAGATAAAGCAAAGCAGTGCGATTAAAAACAACAACACAGTGTTACATATGGGGTAAACAAAAGTTGGATGGGCTAATTACAGATGGGCTGTGTACAGGTGCAGTGATCGGTAAGCTGCTCTGACAACTGATGCTTAAAGTTAGTGAGGGAGATAAGAGTCTCCAGCTTCAGAGATTTTTGCAGTTCGTTCCAGTCATTAGCAGCAGAGAACTGGAAGGAATGGCGGCCAAAGGAGGTGTTGGCTTTGGGGATGACCAGTGAAATATACCTGCTGGAGCGCATACTACGGGTGGGTGTTGCTATGGTGATCAATGAGCTAAGATAAGGCAGGGATTTGCCTAGCAGAGATTTATAGATGACCTGGAGCCAGTGGGATTGGTGACGAATATGTAGTGAGGGCCAACCAGCGAGAGCGTACAGGTCACAATGGTTGGTAGTATATGGGGCTTTGGTGACAAAACGGATGGCACTGTAAAATGCTACATTTACATTACATTTTAGTCATTTAGCAGACGCTCTTATCCAGAGCGACTTACAGTTAGTGAGTGCATACATTTTCATACTGGCCCCCCGTGGGAAACGAACCCACAACCCTGGCGTTGCAAGCGCCATGCTCTACCAACTGAACTACAGTTGGAGGCTATTTTGTAAATGACATCGCCGAAGTCAAGGATCGGTAGGATAGTCAGTTTTACGAGGGCATGTTTGGCAGCATGAGTGAAGGAGGCTTTGTTGCGAAATAGGAAGCTGATTCTAGATTTAACTTTGGATTGGAGATGCTTAATGTGAGTCTGGAAAGAGAGTTTACGGTCTAACCAGACACCTAGGTACTTGTAGTTGTCCACATATTCTAAGTCAGACCCGCCGAGAGTAGTGATTATAGTCGGGCGGGCGGGTGCAAGCAGCGTTCGATTGAAGAGCATGCATTTAGTTTGACTTAGCATTTAGACAGGTCCAGACAACAGGCCCTCCGATTTGAACCAGGCGAGGCAGTCATTTGAGAAACCAAGGCTATTTAGTCTGCCAATAAGAATGCGGTGATTGACAGAGTCGAAAGCCTTGGCCAGGTCGATGAAGACGGCTGCACAGTACTGTCTTTTATCGATTGCGGTTATAATATCGTTTAGGACCTTGAGCGTGGCTGAGGTGCACCCATGACCAGCTCGGAAACCAGATTGTATAGCGGAGAAGGTACGGTGGGATTTGAAATGGTATGTGATCTGTTTGTTAACTTGGCTTTCAAATACTTTCGAAAGGCAGGTCAGGATGGATATAGGTCTGTAACAGTTTGGATCTAGAGTGTCACCCCCTTTGAAGAGGGGGATGACCGCGGCATCTTTCCAATCTCTGAGGTTCTCAGATGACACAAAAGAGAGGTTGAACAGGCTAGTAACAGGGTTTGCTACAATTTCGGCTGCTAAGTTTAGAAGGGTCCAGATTGTCTAGCCCAGCTGATTTGTAGGGGTCCAGATTTTGCAGCTCTTTTTTTTTTTTTTTTCGGGGGGAATGGATCAGCTTAATATTGCAGATAGATTGTATCTTCTATCAATGTAATTGTCTGCATCACTTCCAATCCCCCATGTTTATTTATATTTTTTATATATATATTCCCCTTTATTACTTTTCAACCCCACCATCCTTTCCCTACTTGGAGTAAATTAGTGAACAACAACGCCCAGGCCTCTACTTCTGGTCTATACTTACTATCTACACCTTATGGACAGAGTTAATTTTACAATAATTCTATATATATATATATATATATATATATATATATATATATATATATTTTATTTTATTTTTTATTTTTTTTTGCTCCTGAACTTCTTCTACTCTCAACCTCTCCGATCATTTTCATGATGTCCATCCGGTTTGCTTCTAAATGCCATATCTCTACAACATTCGGAGAGTGCGACCCTGCCTTACACAGGAAGCGGCGCAGGTCCTGGTCCAGGCACTTGTCATCTCCCGTCTGGACTACTGCAACTCGCTGTTGGCTGGGCTCCCTGCCTGTGCCATTAAACCCCTACAACTCATCCAGAATGCCGCAGCCCGTCTGGTGTTCAACCTTCCCAAGTTCTCTCACGTCACCCCCCTCCTCCGCACACTCCACTGGCTTCCAATTGAAGCTCGCATCCGCTACAAGACCATGGTGCTTGCCTTTGGAGCAGTGAGGGGAACGGCACCCCTGTACCTTCAGGCTCTGATCAGTCCCTACACCCAAACGAGGACATTGCGTTCATCCACCTCTGGCCTGCTGGCTCCCCTTCCTCTGCGGAAGCACAGCTCCCCCTCAGCCCAGTCAAAACTGTTCGCTGCTCTGGCACCCCAATGGTGGAACAAGCTCCCTCACGACGCCAGGACAGCGGAGTCACTCACCACCTTCCGGAGACATTTGAAACCCCACCTCTTTAAGGAATACCTGGGATAGGCTAAAGTATTCCTTCTAACCCCCCCCCCCCCCCCCAAATTGTAAAGTGGTTATCCCACTGGCTATAGGGTGAACGCACCAATTTGTGAGTCGCTCTGGCTAAGAGCGTCTGCTAAATGACGTTAATGTGCCCTTGAGCAAGGCACTTAACCCTAATTGCTCCTGTAAGTCGCTCTGGTTAAGAGCGTCTGCTAAATGACTAAAATGTAAATGTAAAATATCTTTCTAACTGTGCTCTTTCCCAAAAGCTCCCAACATACAACCTATATACTTATTATGGACACAGTATGCTTACATTATTAGCTATCTTTGTTATTATTTGTTGTTATTTGTTATTAGTCCCATCCTTCAACTCTATTCAATACTTCCCATCTATCTCTTAACACCATCCATATAGGATTTCTATTTGCCATATATATTTCAACCGTACTGTGATGTTTTACAAAAGTTCTGAACCTTTCTATTCTCATTGCTTCTACAGATTGTGAATTAAAAATAAGCATTTTAAAGATTTTGCAGCTCTTTCAGAACATCAGCTATCTACATTTGTGTGAAGGAGAAGCGGGGGGGCATGGGCAAGTTGCAGTGGAGGGTGCAGAGCTGGTGGCCGGGGTAGGGGTAGCCAGGTGGACAGCATGGCCAGCCGTAGCAAAATGCTTATTGAAATTCTCGATTATCGTAGATTTATGGGTGGTGACAGTGCAGTGGGCAGCTGGGAAGAGGTGCTCTTATTCTCCATGGACTTTACAGTGTCCCAAAACTTTTTGGAGTTAGTGCTACAGGATGCAAATTTCTGTTTAAAAAAGCTAGCCTTTGCTTTCCTAACTGATTGTGTATATTTGTTCCTGACTTCCCTGAAAAGTTGCATATCGCGCGGGTTGTTCGATGCTAATGCAGAACGCCACAGGATGTTTTTGTGCTGGTCAAGGGCAGTCAAGTCTGGGGTGAACCAGGGGCTATATCTGTTCTTAGTTCTGAATTTTTTGAACGGGGCATGCTTATTTAAGATGGAGAGGAAAGCACTTTTAAAGAACAACCAGGCATCCTCTACTGATGGAATGAGGTCAATATCCATCCAGGATACCCGGGCCAGGTCAATTAGAAAGGCCTGCTCGCTGAAGTGTTTTAGGGAGCGTTTGACAGTGATGAGGGGTGGTCGTTTGACCGCGGACCGATTACAGATGCAGGCATAGAGGCAGTGACCGCTGAGATCCTGATTGAAGAAAGCGGAGGTGTATTTAGAGGGTAAATTAGTCAGGATGATATCTATGAGGGTGCCCATGTTTACGGATTTAGGGTTGTAACTGGTAGGTTCCTTGATAATTTGTGTGAGATTGAGGGCATCTAGTTTAGATTGTAGGACGGCCGGGGTGTTAAGCATACC